GATTATAAACATGTTGAAAAGCAGTAAGTTCGGCTGGGCCGAACTGTGAATACCCTCCACCATTTGGAACGAATTTAGAAATTTTCAAAAAACAAAATCCTTAAAAAATTTTGTGAACATTAAAAAAAAAAGGAATATTGCCGATATATTGGGGTCTATACGACGTGCAGCTACATGGGTATTGCTTGTCATAAGTTATTACCATATTCAAATTCAAAACTTGAAATAAACGGTGAATAATGCAGCTAAAATCAACAAAATATCGAATGTAGGGAGGTACCTGAACCAGCGTAGACAATTTTTTGTCATGGGCTGTAGCATCCATTACGAACTTCAAATACGACATTTCAAACAATTTCGGTGGGTATTGTACCTAAACTCGTCAAAATACCGAATATAGGGAGGTACTGGTATATGGGGCCTATACGAAGACCTGGACCTGCATAGACAATTTTCCGTCACAGAATGTAGTTACCATTACGAACTCTAAATAAGTAATTTGAAACAATTCCCGTGAATATTGACGCTAAAAATACCGAATAATGGGAGGTACCTTTATATGGGGGCTGTACGAAGACGTGGACCTGCACAGACAATTTTCTGTCATAGGCTGTAGTATCCATTACGAACTTCAAATACCAAATTTTAAACAATTCCGGTGACTAATGTCGCTGAAATCATCAAAATACCGAATATCGGGAGGTACCTTTATATGGGGGCTATGTGAAAACTGCCTACTAGAAAAATAAACATGTGTTCAAAATTTTAGCCATCTATCTCAATTCATTCGAAAGATAGCGTGATTACAACAGACAGACGGGCAGAGAGTATGGTGGAGTGTATAAAAAGCACTGCATGATGAATTTGTTTGAGGAAATTTCTACAAAATAGTTTTTGACCACCATTTAGGTAAATTCACGTGTAAATTCCCGGATATTTATCCAAAAATTTAAAATCGGAATTCGCTAAATTCTTTATAGACAGGCAAAAATTTTACAAACCAATAAAAAATCGACTAAATACCAGGTATTTATTCGTTTTACTGGTGTCTGGTATTTATCCAAGTGAACCGGTGAATGTGGCTATAATTTCATATTTTAAAATCTAAATCGTTTGAAGTTACACTCGCAAAAGTGTTGAGCGCTCTTACAGGATTTGAATAAAGCGCAGGTAACGGTAACTTATAGATTATACAACCGATAATTTAAATATTTTAATGGCGAAGGGAATTAAAGGCTATGGCTATGCAAAACATTTCGTTCCCTTTTATAGTATTTTGGAAATTCACTTAAGAACTTTTTTTTCTAAAGTTAAAGATTACTGTGCAACTCAGAGCAAAAATTGTTCAGTTCCAAAACCCGCAAGAATCTAATATATTTACATTTCTTCGACATCATAAAATGAAAATCCGTTATGGTGTTGAACATTTTTTGCATTTTTGAATATCTGGAACAGACCAAACATCCAAAATATTTTGTTTTTTTACAATGCATCGTAATTAAACATTTCTTTAATATTCCCGATGATTTTGATATAAAACTCACCATCACTGAATATATGCTCAATTTTCAACACAAAAAAAAAAAACACAACCAACCATAAAAATTCCTTTTTTTACGAAGTATTACACCCGATATCTTAAATCGCTTTATTTCATAAATACTTATCCTCTGAATCCTTACGTAATAAATAAAACTCCATGTATCCCAAATTCGAAAAAAAATATTTTATTTCTGTTTTCTCCATCCTTACTCACTGAATCCGTGGCTGCTGCAACCAAACCCAAAGTAACTTCAAAGTGTTGTGCACACCAACCGCCGGGAACGACTAAATGAAACCTAATGAAATGAAATGGTTAAGACCCTTCAAAATTTGACTGCTATAATAGCACGGCTTAAGTCATTACTATATTTAAACGTATTGAGATATACATACACACATACCATACACATACACACATCCATATGCTTGTATTAAACTAAATATTGATTTTATCAATTCTACGTTCTATGTTTTTTTCTCCTTTACGCGTCCATTGGCTTCTCACACTCGGTCAATTGTTTTTGTGTAATCACCCATTACCAATTCGAATTTTCATTGATTCTCACTTTCTCTCTTTATTTAGTCGCACTCTCTTATCCGTGCATCTATCTACCTATAAATCAATGAATGTGGTGGGTCGAACATAAATGTTAACATTTAAAATTGTTGGCGAACATATGTATGTATTTATTTACGAGCGACCACTTGGAGAGCCCATCATAAACATCGATCGATAAGGTGTGAAATTATGCCTCTTGGTGCCCCTACACTCAACTTGCCTTGTGTTTTTGTGTGTGACCCCTCGGTCCACAAGAGTGATCACCGGATACTCAATATTTACTCTAATAATTTATAGTTCAACGTGTCTTATCACTTAACGGATGAATGAAGAAAAAAATCAACGTTTTTCTGATATTTGTTTTTGCAACATACCAGAAGGTATAGACAGTGTCTCAAAGCGACAGATGGTGGATAGTTCAAGGAGAATTCATCCACTTGCCTTGTGACCATACATTTAAACAATATGTTGTATCTTTTGATACCCTCTACCATTTAGGAAGAAACAATTAAAAAAGCTGTAAGGCCAGGCCGAACCTTGAACACCATCCACAATTTGGAACGAATTTAGCAATTTTCAAAAAATAAAAACCGTTAAAAAAACGAATGGTGAATAATGTAGATAAAATCATCAAAACATCGGATATGGGGAGGTACCATTATACGGGGGCCATACCAGAACGTGGACCTGCACTTAAAAGTTTCTGTCATAGGCTGTAGTATCCATGACGAACTTAAAATACCAAATTTGAAACAATTCCGGTGAATAATGTCGTTAAAATTTAATAATTTAATAAAATACCGAATATAGGGAGGTACCGTTATATGGGGGCTATGCAGATATGTGGACCTTCATAGACAATTTTCTGTCACATGCTGTAGTATCCGTTACGAATTTCAAATACCAAATTTAAATGGCGGCTATACCAAAACGTGGACCGATATATCATTTTCGATACCAACCATCCTAAACATAATACAAATTGTTCTGCCAAATGTTGAAGCTCTACTTCAAATAATGTGGACGGCACCGCACGACCATAGCCTTTGCTTATTTCTTTTAAATTATTATGCCCTCCGCCTAAAAAGGAGGGTATATTAACCTTGTTATTCCATTTGTAATATCCTTAAATATTCGTCGTAGACCCAATATAGTGGAAATCACGATATCACGATTTTTGGTATTTGTAGCTCATAATGAGTTCTAGCTCGTGTGGCGAAACATTGTATGTATAGGTCCACGTTTTGGTATATCCCCGATATAACGGCACCTGCCGATATTCAATACTTTCATAAAAATTGGTATTTATAGTTTATAGTGGGTTCTAGCCCGGTGGCAGAACATTGAATATTTAGTTCCACGTTTTCCTATTGCGCACATATAACGATACTCACCGATGTTTGGTATTTTGATAATCCTTGTCCTATTTACCTATTTTAGAAGATTTGATAGATGACAATCCTTGAATTATAAAATTGTATGTAGGGGTACCATTTTTCGGCCAGTGCGACGAGGGTTTCGATCAAGTCGCTTCTTTGATTTTCGAACAATTTCTGCTGATGTTGCTGTTTTCTGTCGGGCTATGCTACCACTATCGCGGTAATGAGCGATGGTACGAGAAACAAAAGATTTATTCACGTTTAAATGCTGGATTGCTCTAACGATAGCCACTTGTGATTTTCCAGCCAAATATAAAGAAATCACACTATCACGCTTGAATTCCATCACGAATAATTTTTTTCTGGAGGACTTCTCACCAAAATACTTTTGTACGCTTGTAAACAATATAATGAGCTGTCACTGGAATAATTTTAACAGCTGTCGGTCGAGTGGCTTAGAAATGACAGCAGACTGAAGTTAGTTGCAGTTTTTCAATCTCATCCTCTATTTGTTTGGCCCAAGGACGAACCCAATGATATTAATGAGAACCGGTTCAAATTTAGATATAGTTCCCATATATATTTTCAACCGATTTCTGGTTAATTGTGCACCAGAAGGTAAATACCAGTCCAAATGACCTGAATTTTTGGACATCTGTGTGAGAAGCGGCTCAGATATAGCTATAGCTTCCACTTATATGTTTTATTCGAATTAGTGTTGAAGTCCTTCCCATGCGTTAATTCCACCCCACTACAATGATGTTTGATACCGGGCATCAGATACGGCTCGAAAATATCTCTGCCAAATTTATAAAGAATATATACTTTTTTGTTACGTTAGCTCTACTAAATACGCATAATGTTGTAGGGTATTCGGGCCCGCCCGACTTTTGATCTTTTCTTACTGGTTTGAGTTATGCCACTCTCTTAGTATTATTATTTCGATACGTTAGAAATGGAATGACAAACGTATGATATAAATATCATATCATAAATTAATTTTGTTACATCAAATGCACTGAGCCACTGTACGAAAATAACCCCGCCTCGTATTTATACAAGAGACGATAAATTTAGCTGTCATAATTTATATGAGTTATAAACTACCGCCACAGTTAACTTCTATCAAAGAAATTTGATGGCATCAGTAAAGTCTTAAAGCGACCGCCATCAAGTCCGATAAATATTTACGATCTACAGTGAAAAGAACGTTGACAAGTGAATAGCGATCATAATTTCTTGTCAAGTAGAAAAACAATAACAAAATACAACATCAAAAAAATAAGAAAACAATAAACTAATAATTTATGATCTAGATTTGTCGTTGTTGTTGTTGTTACAGTGTGTGTTATTGTTTGCTGAATGTGTTTGTGTACTGCACTATGTTTGTGTTTTGTGGGTTGTACGAGTAACAGAGTCAAGGTGTTTGTTTACACGAGACATTTTCTTTTGTTTATATTGTTGTGGTTGGTAATTAGAATGTAATATTTCAATAATTTATTTTTTTTTTTTGTCCGCAGACTTTGAAGAAAACCCTTGAAACAAATTCATCGACTGGAGGCACAATCCGCTTGCCCAAAACCAAAGTTCCCGATATCGATGCATCGGAATATAGTTTTGCCAAATTCGCTGCAACCTATTTCAATTCTGGTGTAACTGGTCATTATAGCAAGAAGCCGCTGAAAAAATCATTACTTGATCATGACTTGCCGTTGGACGAAATTGCCTCGCAGGTAAGCATTGTTCAGATGTGCTAATTAAAATATTAAGCTAAACGCCGGCTGTAAACAATACTTGTGAAGTTAATAACCATAATAATTTCCGCCAAATAATATACTGGTGTTAAATTTTTAATGAAATCGAAACTGGAAATTATTCCATTGCTCGAAAATTATAAACAATGGAAAGTTTTTTTGAAATTAAAAAAAGGCTCTAACATATTCCACAAGTGAGGTTTGCAATAATTTGTTTGGCTAAAATCTATTATAACAGTTAGCATAATTAGAAGGGAATATATTAGCTGATTATAATGTTTATATAGCGTTAGTTGAAATTTTTAGGAAAACTTTGGAGGAAGTTAAAATTTATTCAACATTTCCGTATATATGACGCATTAAAAACAAATAAGCAAGGACTATAGTCGTGCGGGACCGACCATGTGATACCCTACTACACTACAATATGTTGAAAGCCCCTTATCTCCAAATCCATTTTGGACGATTTCGCTTTTGAAACTATGCCATGGAGCCCTGCCCAGATATTACCCTTAGCTTTTCGACCAGGGACATTTGCCCAATGTTTACGCACTCCGTCGTTCTGATAGTTGTTGTGGTCCATTTTACAATTTAGACTCATCTATATGATTTTCTTGTCTAGGATTTTTGGCTATATTCGGACGATAATTGCAATCTGTATATAATAACCCCAACCTGTGTTGTAAGGTGAACAAATATTACAAAATATACACTTCAATTTTATAAGTCAAATTGAATAAATACCATGCGATAAAATATATTAAAACCAGTAAAGAAAGTCTTAAAGTCGGGCGGGGCCGACTTTATGATACCCTACACCACTTTGCTAATTTAGTAGAGCTCCACATAACAATTAAAGTTCTAAGGACTAAATATGCCGAAGCCTTCGTATCTTTTAAATTCGGACTTGCATTGCCCATTTGGTGCACAATTAATTTGAAATCGGATAAATATATATATATGGGAGCTATATCCAAATCGGAGCCGATCTCGATAAAATTTGGCAAAGATATTTCTGAGCTGTATTTGATATATTTCCCTGAATATCGTTGTTACGGAGTGCATATTACGGCTGTGGGTCACAAATATGACAAATCGGATGAAGAGTATATAGGGGAGCTATAGCTATATCTGAACCGATCTTCACCAAATTTGACATTCTAGCTTCTAGACTCAATTCGGTCGTAAGTGACAAATTTCATCCAATTTGGGCAAATATTAGACGTTTGGTGCACAATCCAAGGTAAATCGGACGAAGTTATATATGGGAGCTATATCCAAATCTAAACCAATCTAGATAAAATTTAACAAATGTATTTCTGAGCTGTATTTAATATATTTCCCCAAATATTGTTGTTACAGAGTACATATTACGGCTGCGGAGGACAAAAAAAAACAGTATATATGGGAGCCATAGCTATATCTTAACCGATTTCAATCAAATTTGGCATACTTATTTTCAGGTCCAATCTGATCGTACGTGCAAAATTCCATACTATTCGGACTGATATTACACGTTTGGTGCACAATAAAAGGCAAAACGGACGAAGATATATATGGGAGCTGTATCTAAATTTTGACCGACTATCTCCAATTTCAATAGGGTTCGTCCTTGTGCCAAACAAATGATTTGTGCAAAATTTCATCTGGATAGGGCAATAAATGCGAACTGCACTTTGTTTACAAAAATACATGGACAGACGGACGGACGGACATGCATAAATCGACTCAGAATGTGATTCTATGCAGATCATCAAAAGGAACTATGGGTCTATATCGTTTCCTTTTGCCTGTTACAAACAAATGCACAAAGACATAATACCCTGACCACCTTGTAGTGTAGGGTATAAAAATGACACAAAATATCATTTTATGCCAAAAGTGCATTTTTCATTTTATACCAAAAGGGCATTCTGAATTGACAAAATTTGTCAAAAATCGGTCCAGGTATTCTTGAGATATAAGCATTTTGGCTAAAGTCCCCTTCCTTTGTAAAAAAATTATAAAATCCGAAATAAATAAGCGCCAGGTTCTCTTCATATTTCACATATCACATTATTTCTACTAACACTAGATCTGCTGTGAAGATGGGATATATCGGTCCACTCCTTCTGTTACCTCCCACACAAAATGTCAGCATTTTGAATATCCATGAAGCTCATAAAACGCGAAATTAACATCCAATTCCATTCAGATTTGGTACATCTCAATATTTCCATCAACACAAGATCCCTTCTAAAGAGTATGGGCTATTTTTTCTGGTTTATTGTGCGCCAAATGTCTAATATCAGCCCGAACGGATTGGGTTTTGGCACTTCCAACGGAATTCAGCCTAGCAAGAACTTCAAATTTTGCTGAAAAGCGGTTCAGATACAGCTATACCGCCCATTTATATGTTTCATCCGATTTGATGTTAAAGTCCCTTAGATGCGTAATATGCACTACACCACAATTATATTTGATACCGGACATCAGATACAGCTCGAAAATACCTCTGCCAAAATTTATCGAGATCGGTTCAGTTTCTCAGTCAGTTATTTCTATTTAAATTTTAACATGCAACAACCATTAGTAACGGAAATCCCAACAATTTAAGAAAAAAAAAAAAAACAAGTAGAAAAGCTGTAAATTCGGCCGGGTCGAACTTTGAATACCCTCCACCATTTGTTACAAATTTGGCAATTTCCAAATAATAAAATACGTTAAAAATTCTGTTAAAATCTTAAAATACGAATGTAGCCGACGTGGACCTGCATAGGCAACTTTTGTCATAAGCTATATTCAAATACTAAACTTGAAAAAAATCTGTTTATGATGTAGCTAAAATCATCCATGAGGGTTATAAAATGTGGACCTGCACAGACAATTTTCTGTTATAGGCTGTAGTATCCATTACGAACTTCAAATACAAATTTTGAAATAATTCCTGTAAATATTGTCTCTAAAATCATCAAAACACTGAATATCGAGGGTACCGGGGCTATACGAAGACGTGGACCTGCACAGGCAATTTTCTGTCATTGTCTTAAAATACTAAATGTGAAATAGTTCCGGTAAATAATGTCTCTAAAATTATGAAAATACCCAATCTCGGGAGGTACTGTTATATGGGGGCTATACGAAGACGTGGACCTACATGGCTCATTTTATGTCTCCGGATGTAGTATCCATTACGAACTTCAATAACCAAATTTCAAACAACTCCGGTAAATGATGTCGCTAAAATTATCACAATGCAGAATATCGGGGGTACCGTTATATGGGGGGTATACGAAGACGTAGACCAGCACAGACAATTTTCTGTCATAGGCTATAGTATCCATTACGAACTTCAAACACCAAATTTGAATCAATTCTGGTGGATAATGTCGCTAAAATCATCAAAATACCAAAAATCGGGGGTACCGTTATATGGGGGCTATACGAAGACGTGGACCTACATGGTCCATTTTCAATACCAAAAGTCCTGCAGAAATAATACACATTTGAGTAAATTTTTATCAACTTAATTCATTTCGTTCGGAGGCTAGAGTGATTTCCACAGACGGACGTACGGATAGACGGACAGACGGATCGACATTGCTAATTCGAAATAGAATTTTATGCTGATCAAAAATAAATATACTTTGTGGGGTCTAAAATGTATATTTCGAGGTGTTACAAACGGAATGAAAAACTTAATATACCCTCCATACTATGGTGGAGGATATTAAAATGATTAAAATGCCTACTTTGTTGACTCCGTTAGAAGGTTAAAATGTTCCACCAAAATAATCCTCGTATTGTTATTATATCGTATATTGCCGAAAACACTAAGTACCAATAAGGTAGGGATTCGAAGAAAAAAGAAATCTAGGAATCTAATTCTAGTATTTCAGAATCCTTATATTTCAAAAATGTGATTTAAAAGGAAAATTTGCTCCCCCCATTTTGGGTTGCTTCGCTATATTTTCTATTTCGAGCTTTACTTTCATTCATCCACAGAGTTTTTCCTGTAATTACTTTTTGTGTTGCTCAGTGGTATCATGGGTCCAACACCGGACGAGGTTCAATTTGTCTTCGTTTAACAATGAACCATAATCACTCCCTTCATATTCGTCCCTAAGGACTCGTCGCATTTCATAACATTTTCTACAAATATAAAGATTTGTGACTAACAAGGAGTCATAAGATAACTTGAACTTGTGATTTATCCCAGCCCTACTTTAAATCCACTCTTTACTGGTTTTGCTGCTATTTTTAAGAAAATGTGTGACATATTCAAAATGGAAGAGAATCTCATAAAAAACCTCGTGCCTTAAATAATGGAAAACTAAATAAAGTTTCACACACACGCGCACACTGCGAAATAGCACAGCACGAAAGCTAAAAATAAATGTTCAATTGCAAATATGATAATTGAAGATACAATGAGACAACACGCGTCTCATTTAATAATAGCACGATATTTGAATAAATAATTTGATTTATTTATTCATCGTCTAGTTGCCGAGTACGTTGGGTACGTTGGGTGACATTTTTTATAATTTTCCAAAAAAAATGCGATTTGTCATTTGATTGTGATCTGTGGTAAAAGGTTGACGCCGATTGGCTTTCAATGGTTAATTTGGAAATTACGTTCAAAAGTACGAGTTTGACACGAATTGAAAGCTTTCCAAATTTGGATTTCAACAATTATTTCTGAAATATTAAGGGAAAGAGGATCGTTAGAAAGTTACTTTAGGTTGTGGAAAAAGTATGAAAATTTCGTTCGTAATAATTAACAATTAATAATTTTCACCCAAAATGTGCCACAAGGTAGCGTTTAAAAATATTAAAAAAAATATATATCGAATTTAATATTCAGTGTCTAATTCTTAGAAGTTATTTATGGAAATAAAATATATTAACTATTCTATTTTGTATTTTTTAATCACAGTCCATTTGGATAATGATATTACGTTTCATGGGCGACATGGCTGAGGCAAGATATAGCGAGGATGGGGATGATGATGCGCCCGCTGGCGGTACTGTGAAAGCAAATGTCATGCAACGGCTGACACAAACTCTCAGCCGTTCAACTGTGCAAAGTAAAGAATTTCAAGAAGCTTTAGCCACAATGGGAGATCAGGAACAACATCGTCGTTTAATACGGAAAACCTTGAAAAGGAAAACCAAATTACCCGATATTCTAAGGAAAGCCCTGGATAATACCAATGAAATTGAATACTATCATCAGGTGTTGAATACGAGAATGAGTAATTTGGAAAAATTACATTTTATCATTGGCCATGGTATCCTGAGACCGAATTTGAGGTAAGTGCTAAAACAAAATGAAAATAAACAAATTCTAATATTTTTTTTATTTTCTAAAATTTTCGCCAGAGATGAAATTCTTGCCCAAATCTGTAAACAATTGACCAACAATCCCTATCGCACCTCCTTTGCCAAGGGATGGATTTTGCTGTCGTTGTGTATTGGCTGTTTTCCGCCAAGTGCAAAATTTGTTAACTTCTTGAAATGTTTCCTGCAACATGGTCCCGAACTTTACGGGCCGTATTGTGAAAATCGCCTAAATAGAACCCTACAAAATGGACCGCGAACCCAACCACCATCATGGTTGGAACTACAATCGACTCGCAACAAATCAACCATCACATTGGATATCTATCTAATGGACGGTTCCGCCAAGAAATTACAAATCGATTCGGCTTCTACAGCCGCAGAGGCCATACAACAACTATCCGCCAATATGGGTCTCATCGATAATTTTGGTTTCTCTTTAGTAATTTCAATTGCGGATAAAATAATGTCATTAGGAAATGGTAGCGAACACATTATGGATGCCATTTCCAATTGTGAGCAGTATGCCAAGGAACAGGGTCAAAATGAACGCAAGGCGTTGTGGAAATTGTATTTTCGCAAGGAAATGTTTAGCTCTTGGTATGATCCAAGACAGGATAAATTGGCGGCATATTTGGTCTATAAGCAGGTGAGAGCATTTTTGAAGGACATGTTTCTGGAAAAAAATTGTTATAATTTTAAAATTTTCTAGATTTGCAGAGGCTTGAATTTCGGGGAGTATCGTTGTCGCTCGGAAAAAGATATAGCCATGATATGTGCTTTGCAGTATTATGCGGAACATGGTGATGAAATGAAGGATGAGGTAAATAACCATTTCTGTAACATGAACATGTAACATAACGTAATAGAGAAGCACCTGAGGACATCTCTAGAGACGCCCCTGAGGATGTCTATAGAGACGTCCCTGAGGACGTCTATAGAGACGCCCGTTAGGTCGTAGACGTCGTGAAGGACGTCTCCATAGACGACCTGAAGGAGGTCTCCATAGACGACCTGAAGGGCGCCTTTGTAGACGACCTTCACGACGACGTCTATGGAGACGTCATTCACGACGACGTCTATGGAGACGTTCTTCACGACGTCTATGAAGACGTCCTTTGAGGTTGTCTATGGAGACGTCCTTTGAGGTTGTCTATAGATACGTCCGGCGAGCTGATGACGGTCCAGAAAAACCTAATTTTTTTTAAATCGCATTGCTAAGATTGGCTTCAAACTTTAAATATCCTCTTTACAGATTCTGCGCGAATTTATTCCACAAAGTGTTCCCAAAGAACTCCTTATATCCGGTGAAGAGTCCACTCAAAAGTGGACGCAGTTAATACGTGAAACCTATCGGAAGCATGAATATGTGAAACTGAAAACACCCAAACAAACTGCTATTGAAGATATCTGTCTATATGCCCATTTGACATGGCCCATGTTATTCTCTAGATTCTATGAAGCTGTTCGGGTGGATGGACCACAACTTCAAACAGATCAGATAGTGATAGCTGTAAATTCCAATGCTGTTTATTTTGTCGATGAAATGGAACAAATATTGGCCGAACTTTCATATGCAGAAATTACAAAAGTCGCCAGTAAATCGGATGAGAGTAACCCGGTGGACACTTTCCTCTTGGAAACGGTACAAAATGAAAATTTCACCTTCAAATGTTATGAGGCCAAGGATGTGGAGCGACTTATTTCCTATATGATTGATAATTTGAAAAAGAGATCTCGTTATTGTATAGCCGTGGATAAGGTAAACCCGGCTGATGAATTGCCAAATAGTGAAAAGGGGCTGGCACTGAAAAAAGGAGATCTTGTTGAGTTGACAAATGGTGTGACCGGAGGACAGATTATGGAAAATGAAAATGCCATATTCACAGGTGTATGTAACCACATAGAAGGAGAATTTTCGCCGAAAGCCATTGTCATATTGGCGTGCCTAACAAAGCCAACGGAAAGAATTTTGAAAATTTATCGCGAGATGTTTGAAAGTGTTCCAAACAAGCCAATTCGCTCGAAATACAACACCATACAGCGACAGAAAATGCATAACTTGAGTAAATTTGCTGCAGAACATTTTCGTAGTAATAATTTGAGGTACACACCACCTGACTGACATTGTATTTATCCAAAAAAATGCTGAATAATTGATTATTTTTTAGTGGACGCAGAGGTTCTACTTCTTCGAGCTTGCATGCAATTCGTTCCGACAGCGATGATCTGTGGCGTCATTCTCGAGCATTACTCAAAGCACCGCTGTTGAAGCAGTTACAACAGGACTATGAACTTTTTGATATGGCAGTTACAATGTTTCAAAATATTTTGAAGGTAAGTCAGAAAAGCATTTTTAATTTGTCATTCCTCTTGTAGCCCATCGAAATAATCACCTAAACCAATCAAATTATATGGATTTTCGTATTTGGTCTTTTGATGATTTTAACCACATTTCTGAACGGAATTGTTTAAAATTCGATATTTATAGGTCTACGTTTTACTTAGCCCCTTATGAAGTTACCTTCCGATTTTGATCATTTTGTATTGTTTAGAATTCGGTATTTAAAACATTGCCTACACAATTCCACATTCGATATATTTTCCCAAATGTGGAGCTCATATCTGTTATTTTAAATTTAATAATTGCCGCGGGCACAGGAAGAGGGCCGTTCCATGTGTCTATAACCTTATTTCATTACGGAAAAAATATGGGTTATTGCAGCTCCCTTGTATTTGCTGGTCTATAAATTGCTGCTAATTTCCGAAGTCTACCCCTTTTTTATACCCTTCATACCATGGTGGTTAAGTTTGTCATTCCGTTTGTAACACCTCGAAATATACATTTTAGACCCCACAACTATATTCTTGATCAGCTTTATTCTATGCCGATTTAGCGGTGTCCGTCCATCTGTGGAAATCACTCTAGCTTTTAACGAAATGAAGTAGGTTGATAAAATTTTACTCAAATGTATACTCTGTCTGTACGACTTTTGTACTGAAAATGTGCGATGTAGGTCCACATTTTGGTATAGCCCCCATATAACGCTACCTCCCGATATTTGATATTTTCATGATTTTAGCGACATTATTCACCTGAATTGTTTCAAATTTCGTATTTGAAGTTCGTACTAGTACTTCAGCCTAAGATAGAAAATTGTCTGTGCAGGTCCACGTCTTCGTGTAGCCTACATATAACAGTACCTCCGATTTTCGGTATTTTGATGATTTTAGCGACACTATTCACGGGAATTGTTTCAAATTTGATATTTGAAGTTCGTAATGGGTACTTCAGCCTATAACGGAAAAATGTATATGCAGTTCCACGTCTTCGTATAGCCCCCATATAACGGTGCCTCCAGATATTCGGTATTTTGTTGATTTTAGAGACATTACTCTGCGGAATTGTTTCAAATTTGGTATTTGAAGTTCGTAGTAGATACTACAGCCTAAGACAGAAAATTATCTGTACCAGTCTACGTCTTCGGATGACCTCCATATAAATCAACCCGCGATATTCGGTACTTTGATGATTTTAGAGGCATTATTAGCCGGAAATGTTTTAAATTTGATATTTTAAGTTCGTAATGGGTACTTCAACCTATAACGGAAAAATGTATATGCAGTTCCACGTCTTCGTATAGCTCCAATATAACGGAACCTTCCGACATTCGGTATTTTGATGATTTTAGCGACGTTATTAATCGGAATTGCGTCAAATTTCGTATTTTAGTATTGTAATGGTTTATGACACAAGTTGCCTATGCAGGTCCACGTAGTCGTATAGCCCCAATACATTCGGCATTTTTAAGATTTTAACAGAATTTTTAACGAATTTTATTTTCCTGAATATTGCCAAATTCGTTCCAAATGGGGGGAGTATTCATTATTTTATCTTCAGCAATCTTTCAAAAAATGTTTTCCAGATTTTTTATACGATTGAGAAAAACATTATATATTGTGAATAACTTAATCAATGATTATAGCATCAATAGTCCAAATTCTGTCTTACATAGGATTGTAGCGCTTAGATTTTTTACAATGCACTCTTATAATTTAATACAAAAATTTGAAAAAATGGAATAAGATCATTACTGGCAGATATTCCAATCAGATTCACTGTTAAAATATTTATCCATGAAATATTCTCTTGGAAAAGTCTCTGAAACACTTCGAATAATTCCACATACATAGAAAAGGGATTTGAGACGATTTGGATATTCGGCGCCTTCGTATTCTTCTTCTTGACATATCAACCTGGGAAAATCTTTGAAAATTTGTTTGATCAACTTCAGCATATCATCAGCTCTTGTACGCAACCTTGAGAGGGTGTGACATATTTCTGAGTTACCCATTATAATGTCGGAACATTTATCAACATCCTGATAATAATCGACTTCCTGCAAAGTTTGATTAATATTTTCATGCATTTTGCGGAAATCCTCGTTGTGGTATTCTATGGAACGAAATGTGTCACAAAATATTTCCATGAAGGGACTGCCATATTGAGGATGTCGCGGTGAGGCCACACCATCGGGAACACTGAACATAAGGGTTAAATTTTCCCCTAAAAGTGGGCTTGAAGTTGACTGCATGTTTTTCAAATCCAAATAGCTGGCATATTCGTAATCGATTTGACCACGACAAAAATTACACACAACCAATACTTCGGTATTTGTCAGAGACTGGTTGTTCTCAAGGGGTTTGATGATGTCTTCAAAGAGGTGTAGATGCCCGTCATGGGTGTAAATTAAATTACCCGAATCGCCATGGGACATTAGAAATACTATATAAAGGTTTTCAAAGGTCGAAAATTGCAATGTTTGAGGAAATCCAGAATTTTGAAATATTCCCGCTGTGTGCAATCTTGAATTAGAATAAATGGAATTTGAGCTGTTCTCATTTCTCTTATAACACGGCGAACATCTTCTTCACTACCTTGGCGCACGCTACTGGTGAAATAGTAATTATTAATTATAATGGCCAATGCCGGATTTACACTGTAAACATAGTTATCGGCATCCGATGAGGAGTAAACAATGGCATTACAGTGGAACCTTTTCGTTGTGCATATTTCCTTAACAGATTTCTGACGATTGCCGGCAATTCTCTTCCCCGAAAAATAAATTTGTTTCGAAATCTCCCCGAAGCTTTCAATTCCAAATTGCATGAAAAGTGTATGTTCGACATAAGATTGCCGGAAAATGTGATGATCGTTCAAAATATAGCCTTCACTTTTGATTGAATCCTCATCGAATGTTATTCGCTCTGTGCTACATGAGATTGGGTCATAATAGAAATATGAATATCTATTACAGCTACCCCATTGGGGAAATTTTTGCAAAATTAAATTCGTGTATGGTTCATTGGTCTCGCCCAGTATTCGTTTGACATCGTAGCTGGCCAAAACGATTTTGGTTCTATAACGCAAATGTGGATTGTTTCGCATCCTTTTGAGTACTTGCAGCAATATGTACGATTTACAGTAGCATTCGACATGCAACGCTATCAAGAGACAGGCATTTCTGGGATATGAGTTCGTTTCCAATTTCGCATAAATCTCCTGAGTTGTCTCCGCATGGGAGAAGTCAAAATCATCCGGCATATGTTGTAAAAGCTTGAGATGGAAATCTCTCATTTGGATATCTGTTCTCTCGCTTTGATGATTCGAACAGGTGAGAATGTGCAAATGTGGACGCAATCCCAAAATGTCTTGGATGTCGTTATCGAAATTATCTGCATTTTCTTCTTTGTCCTCATACTCGTGTTGTATGTTGTAAAAAGTGTTGGCTTCTTTCTCCTCTTCTTCTTGCAAATATTCTGCTGTTATATTTGGCGTAGCCATCTCCTCTTTAATTTGTTGCAACAAAAACTGTTCAACTTCCGACATATCCATAGCAATTTTTTTAGAATCTGAGATGCTCTGAGAATGTAGGATTCATAAGCTTATGGCTGGATGGACAGTACACAAATTAGATTTTATCTTTCGTCCATTAAATGTTGAGTTGATGCATGGAATCACATTTATATACATATGTACACAAAGAGAGAACAAAATTCCTCGCTATTCGATTTTTTTCGACCTTGTTTTTATGCACTTTTCGATTTAAAATATGGCAGAAAACTGAAAGTAAATCTCGATTGTTGTGTTTGTTCACTCATACGCAATCCATTCATTTATGTACAGATCTACAAACACAGCGCTCGCCTCAAGTTGTTTTCAGTTCTCTCATAATGTATGTATCTCACGAAACATCTCATGGTCGTAATTCTGGCACGAGTGAGAATACTTTTTGCGGGAATTTCCCTATCTCAACATTATTTTGACATTCACATAAGCTGAACAGATCAATGTACAAACATAAGTGCCAGAGGGCTGCAACGAGTTTGAATTACATTCGGTCTTGGTTGGTGTGTTCTACAAAAAAATATCGTTTTTGCATCGGATCGAACAATCAGTTTGAATCAAACATGAACGTTTCTTTTGTTTAGCAACAAGCGTTGAGCGGACACATGAGATAAAGTGAGCAATCACAGCTGTGATTTTTTATACACTCCACCATACATAGTATGGAGGGTACATGAAGTTCGTCATTCCGTCTGTAACTCATCGAAATAATAATGATAGACCTAACAAAGTACATATATTCTTGATCAGCGTAATTTTTTTTAACAATTTAGCCTTGGCCGTCCGTCCGTCTGTTGTAATCACGCTAGAGTCAAAACTAATAAGGGTAGAAAGCTAAAATTTAGCACAGATCAGTCTATTGTCTCTATTGGCTATATCGGTCCACGATATCATGTAGCCCCCTTATAACGGTACCCCCGATATTCGGTATTTTGATGATTCAATGATATTGTCTGAAAATCCACACAAGGAGGTCCTTCTGAGTACTTTACCTATTGGAAGGGAATTGTCTATTCATAGGTCCACGATATCGTATAGGCCCCATGAAACGGTACCTCCCAATATTCGGTATTTTAATGAGTTTAGCTACATTTTTTTATGGAATTGTCTAAAAATCCACACAAGAAGTCTTTCTAAGCACTTTACTCCCTGAAAGGAAATTGTCCATAAATTTCACGATGTCGAATAGGCCTTATAAAACGGTACCCCCCGATATTCGGTATTTTCATGATTTTAGGGACAATATTCACCGGAGTTGTTCCAATTTTAGTATTTATAGTTCGTAATGGGTACTACAGCCAATAACAAAAAAATGGTTCACATCTTCGCATAGCCCCCATATAACGATATCTCCCGATATTCGGCATTTTCTTGTATTTGGCAAAATTGTTTAATGGAATTGTCTGAAATTCTACACAAGGAGTTCCTTCTAAGTACTTTACCCCCTGGAAGAGAATTGGATATATAGCTCCACAATATCGAATAGTCCTCATACAACGATACCCCCGATATTCGCTATGTTGATTTTAGCGACATTTTTTACTAGAATAGTTTCAAATTTCGTATTTGAAGTTCATAAAGTTCTCGTCTTCGTATAGCCCCAATAAAACGAAACCTCCTGATATTCCATATTTTGATGATTTTAGGTACAATATTCACAGGAATTGTTTCAAATTTCGTATGTGAAGCTCGTGAAGATCGTTTTTTTGGTCAGAAACCCCATAATTAAATGTCCAAGAAAATATCGGTCATAATCCCCAGAAAGTAGCGGATATAATCCCCATAATAATAGGTATGTCCAAAACGAATGCGGACATAAACGGCCGTGGGAAAAAATGGAGATTTTCTCCTGTGGGTATGTCCGGCAGCGGCTATCGCGAACCTATTTTTTCATTTTAAACTTTTTGTAAGTAGTCGGCCTTCGGCAGGGGCTTGAGAGTTTATCTACTTGGTATGTCCGGCACCGGCTAAAGCGAACCTAAATTTTCTAAATTTTAAACTTTTTTTCTGCTTTAGGTAACGCGAACCAAAATTTTTTAAATTTTAAACTTTTTGTAAGTAGTCGGTCTGCGGCCGGGGTTTGCGTCTTTCTATTCTGGGTATGTCCGGCACCGGCTAACGCAAACATAAGTTTTCTAAATTTCATTCATTTTGTAAAAAGACGGTCTTAGGCCCGGGCTTGAAATTGTGGCCCGATCCTTACCAAATTGAAAATTGACTTTTATTTAACACAAATGATATGATCTATTTCACCCACTGACCATCAAAATTGGAAGGTTTCTGCCCAGCCCTAAGCTCTAGCCCCATGCTAACTTCCGCTTCCGCTACAGACGGACGGCTCGGCGAGATAGGACAGACGGACAGCTCGGTGAGATATATACTTTCCTATGTGGGAAACCAATATTTCGAGGTGTTACAGAATTTTTGGCCCAATCAAACTTATAATACCCCCAACACTTTATTAAAGTCCTATTTATTATTTTTTTCCAGTATATGGGTGATGTTCCGAGTGGAAAACAACAAATCAACACCGACTTGATTTTTCAACCCGCAGTACAACATGCCCCGTTGCGCGATGAGCTGTATTGTCAAATTATGAAACAGTTGACCGACAATCCCGGTAACTACAGCGAGGAACGTGGTTGGGATTTAATGTATTTGGCCACCGGCGTCACTTATCCCTCGGCCATGGTTATGAAGGAATTGGCGGAGTTCTTGAAAACTCGAACACACGTCCTGGCAACGGAATCTTTTAAGCGTGTAAAGCGTACACTTAGTAACGGGTTGCGCAAACATGCACCCTATATTATTGAGGTGGAGGGTATACAAAATCGTTTTATGCACATATATCACAAGGTAAGGAGGTGGAGATAAAGCTGGAAATATAAAATAATTTTTTATTCCAATTTTAGATTTATTTCCCCGACAACACAGTCGAGGCCTTTGAAATTGAATCTTTCACACGAGGCCGTGATCTAATCCAAGTCATTGGTAAACGCTTGCAACTTAAAAATCTGGATGGTTTCAGTCTGTTTGTAAAAGTGGGTGATCGGGTTTTCTCACTACCCGAAAATGAATTCATTTTCGATTTCGTCACCGAACTAATGCAGTGGATAGTCCAGAATATACCCTCGCGTTCAGTGGATGTCCAAAAATCCACACCTTATTTGCTGTACTTTATGAAGAAGCTTTGGCTTAGCACTGCAACGGGCAAGGATGCCAATGCTGATGTTATCTTCCATTTCCCCCAAGAAGTGCCAAAATATTTGGCAGGCTATTATAAAATCTCCAAGGAACAGGCAGTGACGCTGGCGTCATTGATATACATTGCTGAGCATGGTGAAAATCTTTTAGCCCTACAGCGACCAAATGAAATTTTACCATTCCTATTACCCGAAGAATATATTAAACAAAGAAAATCTCAAGATTGGAAAACTCAAATAGCAGCTGAAATAAAAGATTTCCTGCTGCAAGATGGTGCGAATGAAACTTCTGCAGCGCAAAAGTTTCTGGCTATTTTAAGTGAACAACAAATGTTTGGTTCTACGTTTTTTGTTGTCCAACAATCCAACGATGACAGTTTGCCTCCGACCATATTATTGGCCATCAATCGTAAAGGATTTCATGTCATTGATCCTATAACTAAGGTAGGTTATTTTTTTTCTGTACGAAAAAAAAAACAGTACCTTGGGGGTACTAAGGTTTTTTTTCTATGATTAGACAAAAAAATTTCTAGACGAAAAAACCTCAGTACCGCAGTGGTACTGAATTTTTTCTGGACGAAGAAACCTCAGACCTACGGTTCTAAAATTTTCTCTAGACGAAAAAAACCTCAGTACCGCGGTGGTACTGAATTTTTTCTGGACGAAGAAACCTCAGACCTACGGTTCTAAAATTTTCTCTAGACGAAAAAACCTCAGACCTATGGTGCTCAATCCTGCTCATCAATTCAAATTCGTTTAAATCAATCTTCCTCTCTTTCCAGGACATTTTGCTCTCTTATGGTTATGGCGACTTGAGTTTCTGGAGTTCCGGCAATACTTACTTCCACATACGATTTGGCAATATGATTGGTGCTTCCAAACTGCTATGTTCAACTAATTTAGGTTATAAAATTGATGATTTACTTTCCTCATATATCAAATATTTTAATGAGAGCCGATAACGGTTCTGACAAATAAAAACACTCGTATTTTATACACACATACACATTTACAAATAGCCTAATTCTTTTGATTTCGACACCAAAGCCTTCATGCCGGTCATCAGTTCTTGGCAGTTGGGTAAAATTTGCACGGGAGGTAAGACAAAGCCGTAGCGGCCCTTATCGCGGAATTCAATGGTATAGCCAACCTTAACGTCCAATTCATTGAATACCCAGTCGACAGTGGAACCGGAGGCAACATCTGTAAATAAATTTTGCATTAAAATCGAAAAAGAGCGAATTCGCCATTGTTACTTACACAAGACGCTAGCTGTGGAACCATGTACATAATCCGTTTCATAGGGCAAGCTCTTGATGGCTGTCTTAAATGATTCACCTATGGTCAATAGGTCATCATAGTTTTCGGGGAATTCATCCTTGGTGTGTCCATATGGAGACAACAACCATTGTCCATAGGAATGGAAGGACAAATAAATGTTGATTTTATCCTTAATTGAGGTAACGAAATCGGCCAATGCCTTGGCTTCGGGTTCGGAGAATGGTGTGGGACCGGCAAACGTTTCCGAACAGGGATTATTGGAGGCACCACCGTTTTCCATCCAATGTGAGTCGAAATTACGATTGGCATCGGTACCAATACAATCGGAAGTTGAAACAGGTTGGCGGGTCTTGCGCCACATACGGTCCTAGGAACGGAAGTTATACGAAAAAAATTAATGACCCTGTGCAACATAACAAAACTCGGTAGATTATGAAAGAAGAGCGAAAAATAGATATCACATGCATCTGCGTTTTGAAAAAGTTCACATCACAAAGTAACCTAAATAGAAAGGGGCAAGTTCCCCACTTCACCACATTTTTTTAAATTTTCGATTTCATGAAATCCTTGTCTTTTAGGGGTTTCCCTAAACCAATATTAACAATTCTTTCTCATCTTTTTCACTATACATTCAATTGGTTCCATTCAGTACTTTCCGTACACATTATAGTAATCATAACTTTCAAACTCCTTTTTTGACTCCTTTTCATCTACAGTGATCCCAATACAAAAAGTTCTAATTACAGTTCTATTCCTACACTATACAGAGTGAGATGAAAAAACTGCAACCAACTTAAGACTGCTGTCATTTCTAAGCCACTCGTCCGACAGCTGTTAAAATTATTCCAGTGACAGCTCAATATATTGTTTACAAGCGTACAAAAGCATTTTTGTGAGAATTTTCCAGAAAAAAAGTTATTCGTGATTGAATTCAAGCGTGATAGTATGATTTCTTTATATTTGGTTGGAAGGCCACAAGTGGCTATCGTTCGAGCATTCCAGCATTTAAATGTGAATAAATCGTACCATCGCTCATTACCGTGACACTACAAGGTAGTGGGCGAAAAGTAAAGAAGCGACTTGATCGAAACCCGCGTCGCAGTGGCATTAAAATGGCTCGTGAGCTGAATATATCGGAATATTCCATTCGGCAAAAATTGAAAAATGAGCTCGGGATAAAGCCAGGGCAAGAACTAACACCGCAACAGAAAAAAAATAGACTCAAAAGAGCTAAAGAGTTGCTTCGCTTGGCCGAAAGTGGTGAACTGCCGAATTTTGTTTTCTCCGCAGACCTTGGACATTCCAACAGGACTCAGCACCATGTCACTCAGCACGCACCACCCAAGAATGGTTACAAAATGAGGTTCCTCGCTTCATTTCCAGAGCACAATGGACACCAAAATCTCCGGATACCAATCCGTTGGACTATTGTGTGTGGAGTATTTTGGAAAGCAAGGTTGGCACTAAAAAATACCAAAATGTCGATCACCTCTAGCAAGAGCTTCGCCGGGAATGGGCCAAAATACCGCAGAGCAACATTCGGGTAGCGTGTGACGGTTTCATTAGCCGTTTGAAGGCTATAATTCCTGCCAAAGGTGACCAATTCGAACAAATCTAAACTTATTCTAAAATTTAATGCTATTTCCGAAATTTTTTTGCTTTCATTCATTAAAATTAAAAAATGCAAAAATATGGCGGTTTGCTTTGTTGCAGTTTTTTCATCTCACTCTGTATGCTAAATGTAGCACTTTTAGTGTACCTATACACATTTCTAGAGAGACCTCTACATTTAAACATTTCACCCGTATCCATTCACGATTTTACCTTTATGCATTCACATAATTTCAAATGCTACAAAATTTAGTGCATTTTGTACTTTTTGGTACACTTATTGTTCGAATTTCCACAAAACCTTTGGTTCGTCCATCCTACAAAGATTTCCATCTCTATCCCCTCCTTAAGTACCAAGTTTAATATCATTTAGTACTGTTTTTTCAAAATCCATCCCATATGTCTACCCCGAATCACAAAAAGTCCTTTCCTCATATACCAAATTTAGTACCAAGCCCAACTTTAAATCTCTACCCCAAACACTAAGCTTGACCCCAATATCAACATTTCAAAGTTCCAAGTCCATCCATTCACCCAAATCCAAATGTACCATTTAGTATACATTTTTAAAATCACCTCCCTATACCAATCCCACTTCGACAATTTAATTCGTATACCACCTGCAAATTTTAGCCTATCCGTTCACATAAAACCAAATATTACCAAATTTGGGGCTTTTCAGTATTTTAAGTACTCATAAAGTAGAAAATCCTTTTGAGCATCTGCCCTACACCCCATCAGCGACTCTCACTCCAAAATTCAGAAATCTAGCTCTATCCGTTTAACCAATACAATGGGTTCAACTTTTTGGTACACTTATACCATCACAGTACGCTATTACTATCTTACCTTTTTATGCGAATATTCAAAACCATCAACATTGAACACCGGAATTATGTACCAATCATAGTTTTCAGCCAAGTTCCTAACTTCGGGATCCGAGGAGGACAACAGCTGATCAATGAACCATGTAGCGGTGGCCGATGTGATCCATTCACGAGCATGAATATTCGATTCAATGAAAATGCCAGGATTGCCACTCTTATATGAGATTTTAATGCCACGAATGGTACGACCTTCGTACGATTTACCGATTTCGAAGGCTTCCGTGACCGATGGATATTTTGCAAAAACGCCATCTAACCACTTTTCAATATCTTCCAATTCATAATAACGAGTCCAAGAGAATTCTCCGTTATCGGGTGATAGCTGGGCAGCCCGTTCCTCTTCGTCGATTAATCTAAAATGAAATAAATATTTATATGAGGGGAAATTAAAAATAGTCATTTTTTAATTGGAGATTAAAAAAATCAACAGCCATTAATTATGGCAATGTAGTAGCCCACTTTAAAATTGTTATCGTTGTTCATAGTTCGGCGATAAGAAACGATTTGATTTATGATGGGAAATAATTGTTAGTGAAATGTGTTTTTAGGGCATGCAATTAAGGCAGTATAATTTTCAATCTAAAGATATTTTACTATTTTGAACTAGAAACAGACCTAGGAATTTGCGGAATTTTTCAACCAGCTTGTTAAGTGCATTCGATAATGGTATATTTGCAAACATTTTTGTAATGTGTTGTCAAAGAGAGGTTATATGCCTTATAATTATAAATGTCAAATATATGACATTTTATAACCTCCAATATAGAATGGAGGGTATATTAGATTATCATTTTGTATTTAAACCTATTACACATTTTGGACCCCATAAAATTGCAATATTCTTGATTAACATAAAATTCTATGTCGATTTATGGAAGTTCGTAAGTTCAGGAATTTTCTCTAGCTTCCGAATGAAATTAGGTTGGTTGATATATTTTTACTTAGGTCTATTTTTGGGTATTTGAAATGGGCCGTTTTTGTATAGCATTCATATAACTATACCAACAGATTTAAAGCCTTTTGTTTTTTCAGTGACAATTTTAACCCAAATTTGCTGTACGTTGGCAGTTTGTGTAGGAAACATCCTTGAGAACTGTTCATATAGGTCAAAGTTTTGGTATAGTATAGAATTTAGGTATTTTGATTTAACCATTTAGAATTTAGAGTTCGTAGTGGCTACCACTTCCTATCACAGAAAATACACATCTTCATAGAGGCACCTCCCTTTATTCGGTATTTTGATGATTTTATCTTCATTTTGGTATTTCCTTACAAATGTTGTATACAAAATAGAAAATCTGAAAAAAAAAATTCTGGTTATTTTAGTCTATAGTAGTTCGGAGAGCTAAACTTCTAGCCATTCAAACGTCGAGGCCAAACAAAATTGTATTTTCTTTTCTATGTAAGAAAGTTGGGAACACAAATTCTCGTTTGAACAACAACAAATCCGCCTTCATTGGTATATTTGTTTTAAAAACAAATATTGTTGCCATTATTATTTTGCTAAGCCCGAAAGTGACCAAAGAAACAAAACAATGCAAAATTCCGTGGCAATTGCCTTATTTTCAAGTCCTCTGTCGTGATTATGAGAATTCGAAACCATATTTGATATTTTAAATTCATGTGTATATTGTCCTTGAAAATATATTTTTAAAAAATAAAAAAAAAATCATTTGACTAGTAAAACAAGTAAAAAAGTTCGTCCGACCAAACTTTGGAAGGAGCTTAAAATTTTTTAAAAAATTTAATCAAAGAATACCGCTCAAATGAAAAACGTTATATGCGGGCTATACAAAGACGTGGACCTGCATAAAAAATGTTTCGTCATAGGTTGAAGTACCCCTTACGACCTACAAATACGAAATTTGAAAAATGTTCGGTGAATGCCGGAGTGTACAGGGAATACAGTTACATGGGGGTATGCGATTCGTGGACCTATATAAACAATTTTATTCCAGGGGGTAGAGTACTCAGAAGGAACTCCTTGTGTGGATTTTCAGACAATTCCCTTGAAAATTTTGGCTATAACCATCAAAATACCGACTATCGGGAAGTACATTCTATGGGGGCTATATGAATACATAGACCGAAATGAGAAATTTTCATTCATATATATGATAGCTATACACAAATCTGGACCGATCTCAATAAAATTTGGCCAAGGTATTTCTGAGCTATACATCATTGTTTTGTGTAATATTCGTTCAAATAGCCAAGAAGCAAGTACATCAAACTTGTTGAAAATCGGTTATGATATAGCTATAGATACTATATATATGTTTCATCCGATTTGGTGTTCTCCCCACATTCGTAATATGCACCCCACAAGAATAATGTTTGGTATCAGATATCAGATACAACCTAGAAATACCTCTGCCAAATGGTATCAAGATCGGTACATATTTAAATATAGCTCCCATATATATCTTCAACCGATTTCGTATTAATTGTGAACCAAATGGCCAATATCAGTCCAAATGACCTGAATTTTGGCACATCCAATCGAATTTGGTCTCGAAGTACGTCGATCTCGGACAAAATCGGTTCAGATATACCTATAGCTCCCATATATAGGATTCATCCGATTTTATGTTTAAGTCCAGCACATTTGGCATCAGATATCAGATACAGCACAGAAATACTTCTGACAAATTTTTCAAGATTAGTTCAGATTTGAATATATCTTACATATGCAGTCTAGTAGCAGGTACATCACTACATTCAGTGAAAATTGGTTCAGATATGGCTTTAGCGTTGTCTAATGCATATTACGAATGTGAGGGACTTAAACCTCACATTCGTAATATGCATTAGACAACAATGGTATTTGGTATCAGATGCCGAGATGGAGATGGGCTAATATTTGGATATAGCACCTATATATATATATCCTTAATCGGATTTCAAGTTTATCGTGAAAAAATGGCTAATCAGCCCAAATGAAGTGAATTTCGGGACGTACGTTTCCATTTTGTGGAACTCGGTTTCAATATATATATTTCTTAATATAATTCTTTTCGATGTGATATTATGCACTCTATAACAATGTTATTTGGTATAAAAGATAAAAATGTCACTGTCAAGTTTAGTGACAATTGATTCAGAATTGGATATGCTTCCCATATATTAGTTCTCCCAGAAACCAAGCTAAAACTGCTATAAGGCTAAATTTTGATGGGTGGTATGATCTACTTGAAATAATTTCTTTCGTTACGCGAGGTCTACTAAATGTGCTGTAGGGTATCATATAGGCCACGTCCGACTTTTCCTTACTGGTTTTACTTAAAAAATATGCTCAGTAAATTCATATTTCAATGTTAAAGCTGCAAAATACTCATACAAAACATAATTTTAGATAAATTCCGTCCATTTTCACCTTTCACATTTGTTCCAAAATTGCCAAAAAAAAAGTTAAAATATTTTCTAATTTTTAAATTAATTTTTTTCTCGGCGTTTTTTTGAATTGATGAATGCAAGTCACATAAAATTTCATTTTAGGACAAAGTGACAAAAAGAAGAAATATTCTACACAAAATTTTACTATAAATCTCTGAATAAACCACATATCTAGGTTGAATAGATTTTATGAAAATTACATTCGAATTTTAAATATTAAAATTGAAAATTAATTGTTTACATTTTTGCAGCTAATTTAACACGTTTCCATTCTATGTGAAAATCTCACTTTAAATTTAATTTTTTGTGGAAAGTCAAAATTAATTTTGAGACTCCGAACAAAACACATTTGTACACTTAATATACATACAAAAATATGATAAATCTTGGTCCATATAAAAAAACATCTTATATTTTCGAAAATATAAATTTAGCACTTTTTCCCAATTCGCTGTAAATTTTCTTATAATTTCACTGTCTAATAGCCAGTCTGGTTTGTAGAAAATTCCAAATTGACTTGATAATACTAGTTTGTAGATCAAACCCCATAGGAGATTCGGGCTCTTAGGTAGGTACTACACTATGTAATTAAAATCCACCGATTCTAAAGAACATTTGCAAAAATTTGGATTAGGGGGAACTCGCCCTTCTCTATTTAGGTTACTTTCACTTTCTCTATTTTCAAAATTTTATTAAATTTTTTCCAACATATTATGTTTTTTTTTTTTAATATTCATTACTTTGACTTTCAAATTTTCCTATCAAAAAATTACAACAAGGAATCACTTCGCTTCAATACTTACTCTTGCACATTTTCGACTAGCAATTCCGTTTTGAAACCATAGACCTTCAAAATGCCTGAAAAGTTGGTGATTTCTTCTGGGTTTACCATAATATGGATTTCTTTGGTGGCCTCATCGTACTCCTTCCAGATGATGTACTGCAAAGTGGACAGAAGCAAAGAAAACGTTCAAAATTCCACCTTCTCACAATAATATATGGTCATCGGTTGTACCTTTTCACGTAGATCCTGAATCAGCTCAATGACCGCCAATTGAGTTTTATTATCAATGCTCAACTTGTAAACTTTGTAATTGTCATAACGAACTTTTCCGGACAAATTTGTCTTTAACGAAGCGGCCGAAATTGCCACAACCAAAGTGGCCAGTACAAAAATTAAACTCAATTTAGCCATAATTGCCGAGAAATGACTAAATATTCATTGGCTAAGACCAAACAATTTATACTTTAAAAATGTTATCGATAACATGAAATCTTTCATCTAATCTTTGGCGGTCATAAAACCACCGATTAGTTTGATAGTTAGAGATAATCAATTTGTAAATAAATCTATATGTATAATCTTGTTTGTTTTTTGTTTCTTTATTAATCAATTAAAAAAAAAAAACAATAACAAAATGTGATTACTAATATTTTGGTGTCATATAACCCAAATTTTGGGCTTCTTTGATAAGGGCCATAATACCGGCCATTGTTTCCTTGCAATTCGGCAGGATATGTGTGGGTGGCAAAACAAAACCATGACGTCCTGTATCACGCATTTCAATTGTATAGGTTATCTTAATATCAGCTTCATTGTAGGCGAAATCGATGGTTGCTCCAGGGGCATAATCTGCAAAAATATACGTACAAACCCATACACATGCATATAAAAAGTTAATGGTTTTTGATTTATGACGAATATAAAACTGCAGTGAAATCTAAAATTTTGGAATTGAAATTTAAGATTTCATTAGGTTTATTTTGGGGGTATAGCTATTTTGGTTATTCGGTGCAACAAAATTAAATTTTTATTGACTATTGTAAATAAAAATCCAGTAGATTAGGAAAGCAGGGATACTTGTATCGACAGGAGAAGATACTTGTATCGACATTTGGAAGTTTACATAGCAATGTAAAAAAATAGAAGGATCAAGTTCCCCATTATTCAAAATTTCCTGAATTTTTGGGATTAAGATTTCTTTGGCAAAGTCACTGATAATAATATGACAATTATTTAATAACTTAAGCGAGTCAGCAAAGATGCGTGTTTGGCAATACTTAACAAAATTTTTGAAAACTCTCATTAAGAAGGAGCGTAGCAAGTCATAATATTCTACAAAATGATTTGATATCAAACACTTTTATAGAACCCAGAATATTCAAAAGTCTAAATGCTACTTAAAGGCTAGGAAAAAACATTTTAGGGTTAAAACCGCACCTCATGTAAGTTTATGCCAATTGGAATATTTCTCTTGCTACTTATTTTTTGCTAATGGTTTTTCCATATAATAGAAAAGTATGATCTAAACTTAAACAAGTAACAAGTTAAAAAGCGGCAATTTTGGCCGTTCCGAAATTTGAATACCCTCCACCATTTCGAACGAATCTGGAAATTTAAAAAAAAAAAAAAAAAAAACATTCGCCAAAAATTCTATTAAAATCTTAAAAATAACAAATATAGCCGCTATATTGGAGTCTAAACGAAGACATGGACCTGCATGGGCAACTTTTGTCATAAGCCATTAAATAAACTTGAAAATAATCCGGTGTAATCATCGAAATAGGGAGGTACTGATATATGGGGCCTATACGAAGGCCTGAACCTGCATACGCATTTTTTTGTCATAGGCTACATTACCCATTACGAATTCTACGTACGAAATTTAAAACAACCCCGTGAATAATGTACCTAAAATCGTCAAAATATCGGAGGTACCATTGTATGTGTGCTATACGATATCGTGGACCTATATAGACCTATATAGATTCCTCTTCCAGGGAGTAAAGTGCTTGGAATGAACTTCTAATATGGATTTTTAGATAATTCCATAGAAAAATTTAGCTAAAATCATAAAAAAAACCGAAAAAGGGGGTACCATTATATTGGGGATATACGATATCATGGACCTATAAATACAATAATCTTCCAGGGTGCGAAATACTCAGAAGGAAATACTTTCGTTGATTTTCAGACAATTTCATTTAAAATTTTGGCTGCAATCATCAAATTACAGAATATCGCGAGATACAGTTGTATGGGGGCTGTACACTATCGTGAACCTATATAGACAACTCACTTCCACGGGGTTGAGTGCTCTTAAGCAACTCATTGTGTTCATTTTCAGAAAATTTCATTAAAAAATGTGGCCAAAATCCAAAAAAAAAAAAAAAAAAAAATGACAAGTAAGCAAAGGCTACAGTCGAGCGGGGCCGACCGTCGAATACCCTACAACACTATAATAAACGATACAGTTTATATAGGCCACATACTTGAAAGTATTCCGCAAGATATTGTGACAAATAATAAAAGAAAACCATCAGGTTTCGTTCTCTAATTTTCGAATAATAGCAACTTTAACTAATTTGCTCATTTCCAATTTATTGGTAGATGTTGCACGTAAATGGTCTTCCTAGATCTGGAACCGATATTTCCCAAAGACCTATAATCTCTCAGAAGTGGCAAAAGATTAATATTTATTATTGGTTTTTGACTGAACGAAATCAGCGTTAACGAAATAGTCAGAAGTGCGTCTTTCCTGTATTTGTGAATTCTCCAAAAAGTCACTGGAATGGACATTTTCGTATTTTGTCTACAAAAGATGGCAAACTATTTCACACATTGAATATTTTTGGATGGCCATCCAAACCTGCTTGGCTTTTGTAATGTCCGGTAACTCCCATTCAAATGTGCGTGAGGATCGGGCGATAATTACGACCTGCAGACAATTTTGCAGTTTTTTGGTCCATTTCAACCCCTAAATATATGGCGATCATCTCCAAAAAGAGTAGGCTTCTATTCTGACCCTCATCTTATCTCCATGCAAAATTTCATGAGGATCGGGCCATAAATGCGATCTGTATATGATATCCTGATATCCTAACTACTTAGTTTTGTTAGCTGTAGAAATATTACCAAATGTTTAATTCAAAATGAAAATATGCCAAAAATATGACAAAATTGAAAAAATATGAGAAAATTTTAAAAAATCAATATTTTCATCTTTAGAGAGATATTTTTATGCGATTTTTTTAGACGTTTTTTCTTTCCTGCCAAGAGGCCATTCGAAATTAATGAGAACTGTCGAAATCAGTTCAGCCGTTCTCGACATATAAGAGATTTTTCAAGCATATCTTCTTTGATTAACATATATATCGCACATATTTTGCTATATATCCGTTTTGTTGGATGTTAACATCAATGTAAAGATCAGAAGTAACCTTGCCATGGCTTGGTGATTTCGCCGGGATTTAAATTATTCGCGGTTTAATGAAAAATTTTGAATTTTTTCAACACAAAAGATATGGTCTATTTTACCCGCTAAATATTATCCGATGACCACCCAAATTGGTAGGCTTCTTCCCCGCCCTAAACTCTAGCTACATGCGAAGTTCCGCGTCGATTGGTCTATAATTGCGACCTGTATAGCTACTGCAAAATCCGACATTTTTTTCAGTTTTTGGTCCATTTCGACCCCTAAATATTATGCGATCATCTCCAAAAGAAATAGGGTTCTATTCTGACCCTAGCCCCACCTCCATTTTAAATTTCGTGAAGATCGGGCCATAATTGCGACCTGTAGAGTGATAACAAATTAACATGGACAGACGGACAGACGGACGGACGGACATACATAGCTAGATCGACTCAACTCGGCGAGCTAGGAAGATCCATATATACTTTCATATATGGGAAATCAATATTTCGAGGTGTTACATAATTTTTGGCCCAATCAAACTTATAATACCCCCAACACATAGTGTTGTAGGGTATAAATATCGGTCTGTACCGTTGTATGGGGGCTATACGATATCGTGGATCTAAATAAACAATTCACTTTCAGAGAGTAAAGTACTCAGAAAAAAACTCCTTGTGTGGATTTTCAGACAATTCCATTAGAAAATGTGGCTAAAATTATCAAAATACCGAATACCGGGTTACGTATGTATATCGTGGACCGATATAGCACATCTTCGAACCCAACCCGCCTGCAAACAAAAGACTGATCTGTGCACAATTTTAGCTTACTATCTTTATAAGTTTTGACACTAGCGTGATTACAACAGACGGACTGACGGACAGGGCTAAGGAATTTTACGCTGATCAAGAATATATATACAGGGTGAGATGAAAAAACTGTAACCAACTTCAGACTGCTGCCATTTCTAAGCCACTCGTCCGACAGTTGTTAAAATTATTGCAGTGGCAGCTCATTATATTGTTTACAAGCGTACAAAAACATCTTGGTGAGAATTTTCCAGAAAAAAACAAAAGTTATATGTGATGGAATTCAAGAGTGATAGTATTATTTCTTTATAATTGGCTGGAAAACCAGCATTTAAATGTGAACAAATTTTTTGTGTCTCGTACCATCGCTCGTTACCGTGATACGGGTAGCGTAGCCGACGTCGAGAAAATGGACGGGAAAGTGGACGCAAGAAAACAGCAACATCAGCAGAAATGGTTCGATAATTAAAGAAGCGACTTGATCGAAACCCGCGTCGCAGTGGCCAAAAAATGGCTCGAAAGCTGATATTAAATCGCACTATTAATTTCGCAATATTAAATTTGGCAAATTTTGAAAAATGAGCTCGGTGTAAAGCCATTGAAATTCCAAAAAGTGAAAGAACTTATACCGCAAGGGAAAGAAAATAGACTCTAAAGAGCTAAAGAGTTGCTTCGCTTGGCCGAAAGTGCTGAATTGCCGAATTTGGAATTCTCCGAGAGAAAACATTCGTTGTTCAGCAGTTTGTAAACAAACAAAATGATCGTGTTTACTTGCCAAAGAATTCCGCTGAAAATGTGCACCTTCGGTTGGCCACCAGATCTCAACTGCCGGCCATGGTGATGGTGTGGGCCACCATAACAGCCGATGGCCGCTCCCGCTCGTATTAATCGATCTTGGCATCAGAATAAATACTGAAAAAAAAATCGGGAAAATATTCTGGAGAGTGTATTAAAGCCTTGGGCACGCAAACATTTTGGCCGCAGACCTTGGACTTTGCAACAGGACTTAGCACCATCGCACTCAGCACGCCCCACCCAAGAATGGTTACAAAATGAGGTTCCACGCTTCATTTCCAGCGCACAATGGCCACCGAAATCTCCAGATATCAATCCGTTAGACTATCGTGTCTGGAGTATTTTGAAAAGCAAAGTTGGCACTAAAAATACCAAAGTGTAGATCACCTTGAGCAAGCGCTTCTCCGGGAATGGGTCAAACTACCGCAGAGCAACATTCGGGCAGCGTGTGACGGTTTCATTGGCCGTTTGAAGGCCATAATTCGTGCCCAAAGTGACCAATTCGAACAAATCTAAACTTATTCTAAAATTTAATGCTATTTCCGACATTTTTTGCTTTCATTCAATAAAAGTTAAAAAATAAGGCGTTTGACTTTGTTGCAGTTTTTTTATTTTGCCCTGTATATCGTTTGATACGGCCAAAACGTGTCTCATCGAAATAACGGTTTTAGACCCCTAGGTCTCTTTGGTTCAAATCCTTTTCACGACATTTGGAGTGGATCTACGCACGATAATACGATTTGGTCCATACTTGGTAAATCGTAATATTATTATCAAAATTAGATCGAGTTCGGAGATGGGTAATATCGGTCCACTCCTTCCAAAGGGTCAACATCTTCATAGACAATAATTTACCTCATAGAACAACAAAGGCTCATCGAATTTTGTGTATCTTCGCAATTCCCAATATTTGCATAAGTGCTATGTCAGTTGTGAAACGAGAACCCGATTGTCTTCGCATTTCGAACATCCCAATATTTCTATTAACACAAAATTTGGTGCGAAGATGACATATATTGGTCCACTCCTTCTTGTACCTCCCCCACAAAGGTCAAAATTTGGAATAATCACGAAACTCAAAAAACTTGATGACATTTATCGACCCGTCCCTTTTTTCACACATCCCAATATTTCTACTAAAATAAAATCTAATGTGAAGATGGAATATGTAGAACCACTCCTTCTGGTACCTCCCTCACAAAGGGTAAATTTTTTTTTCTTTGAATAATCGTGATTTTTGTAAAATGTGAAATAAGTTTTGGATTGTCTTCAAGTTACACGCATCTCAATATTTTTGTGAACACAAGATCTACTTTTTCTTTTAAAACACGGTCCTGAGTGAAGATGGAATATTTCTATCAACCTTAGATCCAATGAAATTTCTTATATGTCATATCCACTCTTTCTGCTTCCTCTCCCGTAAAAGCAAAAGCTGCGGATATACATCTGTTGGTAAAACTGACGAATACTTTTTAACTTGTTGAAATTGCGTTTCGTATCGTAGAAACTTTCTTTGAATCGGTCAATTTGAATTGTTTTCAAAATTTTTTCCATAGATTCAAGCCGATATTTTGAAGTGTCAGAGAGTATTTATCATCTGCCTTAAAAAGTTTCAATTTTTAACCAAATTTTGGAATATCCCAGAAAAATTTTAAATGATTGCACTATATAATTAAGTATCTACATGTCGTAACGGGAAGAAGCCAACCTTCCAAACCGGATTTCACATATAGCCCATGTCATGTATCCTTCTAAAAGTATTTTTAAGACACCTTTACCCATAGTTGACATTTCCCTACCCCCAAACAATGACACCGAAATATTGTAACATACAAACACCTTAATGTTTTCTACTTACACATTGCACCGGCCGAAGTACCATAGGTGTATTCACTTCCATACGACAGCTTGCCCACAGCCTGGGCATAGGCATCAGCCACCTTCAAGAGGTCATCGTTGTTTGGTGGAACTTCCTCTGTATGGCCATATGGAGACAACAACATCTGTGAATAGCTGTGGAATGCCAAAAGCACATTGAATTTGTTCTTATTTGAGCGTAAAAATTCCGATTCTCCTTTAATTTCTGGTTCAGAATTAGGCACCGGTCCGGCATAGTCATTTGCACATGGATCCGATGAGGCACCGTTGACCATCCAATACGAGTCGAAATTGCGATTACCATCGGTGCCAATACAGGGAGAGTGTGCAACGGGTTGACGTGTTTTACGCCACAAACGATCCTAAATTTGAAGCACTTAACATTTGGACCATTAAAAAATTTCCAAATATATATCAAACCTTATTGTGGGTATACACAAATCCATCAACATTCAACACCGGTACAATATACCAATCATAATTTTCCGCCAAGTTGCGTATGTCGGGATCCGATGAGGTAAGAAGTTCATTGATAAACCAAGTAGCCGTAGCCGATGTAATCCATTCACGTGCATGAATATTTGATTCAATGTAGATTCCAGGATTTCCCGTTTTGTAGGAAATTTTAATACCCCTCACAGGACGTCCTTCATAGGACTGGGCAATTGTGAATGGTTCCGTAACAGTTAGATATTTGGCAAGAATTTTATCGAGAAATTTGTAAATATCCTCAAGTTCATAGTAGCGCGTCCAATTGAATTCATCAGAATCATCGCCATTGTAGGCTTGCTCTTCATCAATCAAACTGTAAAAGAGAGGAAAGAGGTATTTGAAAATAGTTTCGCCCCACCGAAATAAATGCAATTGTTAGTTCTTTTTCTTTCAAATATTCCTCCAACGAAAAGTATTCATAAAATATATTTATACCCTACACCATATTGTGGTAAGGGTATTATGTCTTTGTGCATTTTGTCAAATATGTCGAAAATCGGTTCAGATATAGCGGTAGCTCCCATATATATGTTTCATTAGATTTATTGTTTAAGCAAATCACATGCGTATTATGCACTACGCAAGTACCAGATATCAGATACAGCCCAGAAATACCTCTGTCAATTTTTTTCGATCAGATTTAGATATAGCTCCCATATGCGTAATATGCACTCCACAACAATATTTGATACCAAAAATCAGAAACAGCTCGAAAATACCTCTGTCAAATTTTATCGAGATCGGTTCCGATTTTTATATTCCTTCGATATACATCTTTATCTGATTGTACGATTATTGTCCACAATATATGTAATATCGATTTTTATAACTATTGCTCCAACAAATATTTACATACCCTCCACCATAAATAGTATGGAGGGTATATCAAGTTCGTCATTCCGTTTGTAACTCATCGAAATAATAAGTTTAGACATAACAAAGTATATATATTCTTGATCAGCGTAAAATCCTACGACGACGAAGAGACCTGTGCCTGTCAAGCTAGAGTCAAAATGAATTAAGATAGGAAGCTAAAATTTTGCACAGATCAGATCAAGTACGAAGATGGGCTACATCGGTTCACGATATCGTATGGCTTCCATATGACGGTACTTCCCGATATTCGGTATATTGACGATTTTAGCCACATTTTTAATCGAATTGTTTGAAGATTCACAAAAGGAGTTCAATCTGAGTAATTTACCCTCTCGAAGAGCATTGTCTATATAAGTCCACGATATCCGGTATTTTGACGATTTTAGCCAAATTTTTTAATGGAATTGTTTAAAGATCCACAAAAGGAGTTCCATCTGAGCACTTTACCCCCCTGTAAGAGAATTGCCTATATAGGTCCTCGATATCGTATAGGCCCCATATAACGGTACCACCCGATATTCGGTATTTTGATGGTTATAGCCACATTTTTAAATGGAATTATCTGAAAAGTTATTTCTAAGCACTTTACCTCCTGGAAGAGAAAAGTCTATCCAGGTCCAAGTCTTCTTATAGGCCCCATATATCAGTATCTCCTTAGATTCGGTATTTTGACGATTTTAGGTACAATATTTACCGAATTTGTTTGAAATTTCGTATTTTAAGTTCCCAACAAGTACTACAGCCTGTGACAGAAAATTGCCTATGCAGGTCCAGATCTCGTATAGCCCCGATATAACGGCACCTTCCTATATTCAGTATTTTGATGATTTTAGCTACATTTTTCACAGGATTTTTTTAAGTTTCGTATTTGAATATTGTAATGGCTTATTGCAAAACTAGTCTCAAATGGTGGAGGGTATTCAAAGTTCGGCCCGGCAGAACTTACTGTTTTTTTTACTAGTTTTATATAATTCTTGACGAAGTCATATCATGCGGTATACAGCAATGTTATTTGGTACAAAAGGCACCACAGCCTCCGTCGAATTTGTTGAAAATCGATTTAGTTCGAAAATTGTAAAATAATGATACGCATTCAATTAAGGTTCATAGTTGGTATGATCTACTTCACATAAATTCTCTATATAAACTTGTTTGTTACGGGAGCTCTACTAAATACGCATAGTGGTGTAGGGTATCACATAGTCGGCCCCGACCGACCTTTCACATTTTCTTACAGGTTTTTTATTTATTTTCCCTTATTTATATATGATTTCCTGCTGTCCTGGAACTAATATGCTAATATTAGCACCATTATATTATTTTTTTTTTCATAATTTTCACAAATTACCTTTGTAAATCCGAAATCATTTCACTAAACTTAATACCTCTCACCAATGTGGAATTTTCGAAGTACATCTGGGTCTGAGGATCAACTAGGATATCCATGTTATGAGAATCCTCCTGCCATATGGAAATCTAAAAAAAAGATAATAAAACAACCTTCATCACATGTTACTTTCAATCCCAGACATTTCAATCTCACCCCAGCCTTATTGTTTCTTATGAAATCAGCCAAAAATGTACGTTGTTCATCATTTTCAATGTTCACTTTGAAGACTTTATATCCCTGATAGGATATTTTGTCTTTTGCTGGGTATGTATAGGCCACACTTAATGCGGCCAATATAACTGCCACAGTTACTACAAATCGTGTCATGTTGACTTCTCTGAGTTCTAAAATGCACTGAACGGTTTCATTTTTTGATTAAATGTAGATGTGTACTATGAAAAGTATATCGATGATTGATTGGTATAGGTATATAGTTGATAAGCTACTGCTAATAATAAGAATCGCTTATATGAGACTGACTACTCAATAAAAGTAATAAAGATAAATGAATTATGCTAACAATTGGCACACGATGAACTCAATCAATATTTATGGCATAAATGTGAAGGAAAGCATTTCTTTAAGTAAATATGTAGGGTGGGTTAAATTGTATGAGGTACGGAAAATATGTCGATCGATCTATAATCTATCTTCCTCCTTTGTTGAATATGTTTAGTTATATGAGCAACACTCAATTTCTTCCAATTTGATTGAGTAATTCAGTTGACATATGTTATAAAATTCGTAAAAATTCTGTACGTTTGAAACTTATTCACACAGTAGTCAGATAATGTATTCATTTGGAAATTCAAATAATGAATGCAACTAAATTCTGCACTTTTACTACTTTTAAAGCTAAAATCATCAAAATTCGTATGTAGCACTTTATTGGTGCTGGTTATTAGATAATGCATTTCTGAACATTTGTACTAAAAATTACATAATATTGTAATCTTATAGCGCGGAGAAAGAAATTTGTGAACAACTTATTTTTTTTCTATTCTCATAAGAAGAGTAGCAAATTAAAAAGAAAGATGCGTCGCACAAGGAGAATAAATATTGGTGTCATTGTTGAAGATTCAAAATTATTTGCGTCAATTTGCTCCATTTTTATATCCTGCACCTTGAAAACGAGGGTTTATTAACTTTGTCATTCCGTTTGTAACATCCCTAAATTTTCGTCGCAGACTCCATAAAATATATACAGCGTGACATGAAACAAGTTAAAAAGCAGTAAGTTTGGCGGCCGAACTTTGAATACCCTCCACCATTTGGAGCGAATTTGGACATTTTCAAAAAATAAAATCCGTTAAAAATTCTGTTAAAATCTTAAAAATACCGAATACAGTCGTTATATTGGGGTCTATACGAAGACGTGGACCTGCATAGGCAAAATTTGTCATAAGCCATTACCCTAATCATATTCGAAACTTCTAATAAACGGCGAATAATATAGCTAAAATCATCAAAATTCCGTAAATAGGGAGGCTCCGTTATATCGGAGCTATATGAAGACCTGGACCTGCATAGACAAATTTCTATCACAGGCTGTAGTTTCCATTACGAACTTTAAATCCGACATCTTAAACAATTTCGCTGAGTATTGTACCTAAAGTCGTCAAAATACCGAATATAGGGAGATACCGATATGCAGGGGCTATACGGAGACCTGGACCTGCACAGACAATTTCCTGTCTTAGGCTATAGCATCCATTACGAACTTCTAATACGACATCTGAAACAATTTCGGTGAGTATTGTACCTAAAATCGTCAAAATACCGAATATAGGGAGGTACTGATATGTGGGGCCTATACGAAGACCTGGACCTGCATAAACAATTTTCTGTCACAGGATGTAGCATTCATTACGAACTTCCAATACGACATCTCAAAAAATTTCGGTGAGTATTGTACCTAAAATCGTCAAAATGCCGAATATAGTGAGGTACTGATATATGGGGCCTATACGAAGACCTGGACCTGCATAGACAATTTTCTGTCACAAACTGTAGTTCCCATTATGAACTCTAAATATGTAATTTGAAACTACTCTGGTGAATAATGCAAAATATATGAGATAGTGGAATTTATGAATCGGAGGAATATTAAGATCGCAGCGGTGCAGGAAACCAAGCTGAGTGAAAATTGCAGCCTACAACGTTGTTATGGTTACAACGTACTAAGGAAGGATCGCACCAGAAGTGGAGGTGTTCAGTACATGCCTATCTCGCTTGAGCTAGTCTCTAGTGACCCATAGGGTAGCAATCAAGGGTGGAACTGCCGAGGTAGAGGTGCTTAATGTGTATATAACGCCGATTAATAGCTGTGAACCTCATTGTTTGACAGATATTAGCACAATGTATGATAGGACCTCAGCAACTTTTAACGTCGTAACGGTGACTGATCCGAAGAGGTGCGCGGAGTATTTTAACCGACAATTTGTCGAGCAGCCCGAGAGCGAAGCGAAGAGTACTACGTCGTATAAGATCTCTTCCCGCCGATGAGTAACCACCACAGTTTAGGATGGGTGTTGTTGCAAATGTCATCCGGAACGCTAAGTCATCCAAAGGGTTGGGTACGGAAGGAATCTCAATGTAATGCTGAAACAGCTGGTTACGCGGGGAGTCGAATACTTAACGAAAGTTCTCAACCTGTCGCTAGCCACCCATATAGTGCCCGAAGCCTGGAAAATGGGCCAGGTGGTCTCGCTACTGAAGTCAGGCAAGGATTCCAGGCCGATTTCGCTTCAGTCGCCAGTAACTAAGACTCTTGAGGCTTTACTCCTCCCCAGCATTAGAGGAAGCTATCCAGTCTCCAACCATCAGCACGGATTACGTCCACAATATAGTACCACAGCAGCATTACACACGATTTCCACATATAATAGTAGAGGATTGAACCAGAACAAACTGTGTGACAGAACAGTGTTGGTAGCTCTTGACCTATCAAAGGCATTTGATACGGTCCATCATGCCATACTGTTTGAGGACGAGCAGAGAACCACCCTCCGGCCAAATTTGAAACGTTGTATAATCAACTATATGCGTGGACGCCAATCGTACGTGGAATTCCGGAACAAGAAGTCCAAAGCCAGTAGAGTAAAAAAGGGGTTTCCCGATGGTGGGGTGATATCATCAGAACTGCTTAACCTCTACCTTTCCGGGATTCCTCGCCCTCCAGACGACATAGGGATCGTAACGTATGCGGATGAGTGTACAATCATGGCGTCGGGCCCAGTGGTCGATGACATATGTAAAAGGCTGAAACCATATCTCGCGGAGCTTGCCGCATACTTCCATACGAGTAATATGAAAATATATGCCACGAAATCACAGCTGAATGTGCAGGTCGAGGAGAATTTAATACCGACCACGAACTACCCTAAGATTCTAGGGGTCACATTCATCTACGATGGTGTCTTAATGAAGGAATTTGTTTTCAGAGAACGTACAAAAACCCCTAGATCTGTGAATATACCAAAAGTATCAAAAACTAAATGATGTCATATCTATTCTATATCGAAATGTAAGAGGTCTTAACACTAAATTGAGTCATGTTTTCTTAAAAGTTTCTACTGCGAATATAGAATAATTGTTTTTACTGAAACTTCGCTCCAACCAGATATTCTTGATACAGAAATATTTCCGGTTAATTATCTAATTTTCAGAAAGGATAGATTGAATAAAAAGGTGGTGGGGTTGTGGTTGCAGTCCACCACTCGATTCCTTCGGAAACTGTCAATATTGTTGTCGACCCAAGCAATGAATTTGTTTGTTCAAAGTTAATATTCTTTGGTAATACAATATATATACACCCATATACACCCAATTCAGGGGCTGAAACTTACTTAAATCACGCTGACCTTATTGGAAAAGTGTCCTCTTTGCTTACAGAAAACTATACATCGATTTGCATGGGTGATTTTAATCTTCTTGGGTCTCGGGTGATAATAAAATAGATTATGTACCCTCCACTTACCCAATTGTACTTGACGCTTTTTGGGATAGGATGTATGAACTTTGTTTATACCAAGTAAATATTATACTCAATGATACGGAACGACTCCTAGATTTAATCTTCCTTATCTTCCTTAAATATTTCGATTTCTAGAAGTTTTCCATTTACTCATGTGTTAATAAAACAAAGTCTTTCATAAAAGCTGGCCTAAAGAGTTCAATGATCCATATGTCGCCAAATGATTGTTTGTAAGCTTAGTTCGCCTAGTATTAGAGTACGGATAAATTCTGTGGAGTTCTTTTTATAAATGCTATTCAGATAAAATCGAATCAGTTCAAGTTCAATTCCTGGTTTTTGCTCTACGGGGACTTAACTGGAACCCGTCAGAATTACTTCCGCCTTATGAAAATCGTTTACTGTTAATTGATCTCCCAACACTTGAAAGCAGACGGTTTATGCTAAGAGCGTTATTTATCAACAAATTAACATGCGGTTTGATTGATTCTAATTTCTTAACTGGCGAAGTTGCTTACAATATTCCTTCTCGTAGAAATTGTAATTGCCAATAGTATATTTTTATCTATTACTGATTATTTATTACTGATGACGGTACCTACCATTCCCGGTCTTTGGTGTGTACGCGTTCCCTACGTATGAGGAGGTAGCCCCTAGGTCGGCGTGGGTGGGGGCGAGAGAATTTTTAACAGACTTTATTTTTTTGAAAATAGCCAAATTTGTACCAAATGGTGAGGGTATTCAAAGTTCGGCCCGGCCGAACTTACAGCTTTCTCCAGCAAAATTGTTGGGTTGGTACCCTTTCCATCAGGTTAGCAGAAGAAGCCCCCTTTTTTTAATATTCATAGCACATTGTATTGAGGATATTAAATGATTCAAATCAGGTTAACTGTGTTGATACCAACACGGCCATTGTCTTTGTTAATTCTATCAACTTGGTCTTCATCATATAAAATTTAGAATTTTTTACTATTATTAATGGACTGCGGGGTCTTAGCTTGTGAAATGCTTGCAGTACTTTGTATGTTGTCTTCATTGAGGTTACTACTTATTGGGTCGTCCCAGCTTGTGGTAAAATCGATAATCGTACATCATAACACTCAAATCGAAAAAGCAGGAAAGTGAAATTCAACTGGATTATGAACGGTATCTGGCAAATATTGCAATTAAACACAATACATTCCGCCAATACCTAAATATATTGTGGCTGACTGCGACTCAAAATGATTTATTGAATGAATAATTAATAAATAATAATGAATCAAAAGTAAAAACAATAAGAAATGCATTTCCGTATAAGATTCCATAGAAATGGGCCCTTGTGGACTTTGAACTTCATATAAGGGCCCAACCGTCGGAGGACGGACGGACAACAAATTGCATATAACATCAATGCAAAAGAAGGGACCTTGGGAGCGGCCCCAAAGACATTAATAGCTCTGATGACCCCGACGTGATTTGAACACGCAACCTTCTGATCTGGAGTCAGACGCGCTACCGTTGCGCCACGGAGTCAGCTGTTAACGTTGTGTTTAATTTGCAACATCTTTCTTATTAACAAAATATAGCCTGATGATGTTGAGGGCTCATTTCGAAACCACCCCCAACGTTAGGTAAGGGAAGAACATGTATGTATGTCTTTGACAATCAATTGCAGAAATTGCGAATAAAACATGGCACATAGACTTACGTGTATTTCTAGGCATGATATGCATTTTATATAAATAAAATATTCCTTAAATTATATTGTTTTCTGTGGGGTTTATGCCCACTTGGTTGGTTTTTAATATATTTTTTTCTTTTTATAGATTCTGCAAAAGGGGAACATTGTATTATTAGTAATTGAACAAATCATATTAGGTTTTACTGTACACATTTTACACAAACATGACAATAATAATCTCAATGGACATTGAACCACCCCCCGGCTAACATGACTCCGTGGCGCAACGGTAGCGCGTCTGACTCCAGATCAGAAGGTTGCGTGTTCAAATCACGTCGGGGTCAGTAAGTATTTTGTATCGGAAATTGACAATATGATTTGTGCGCATGTTCTTAAAATGTCAAATGAAAAAAGCTTGCATTATTTATTATCTGTGTGTCGATGTGTTGTTCGCAAGAGATAGCAAATTGAGGGTAATGTTAAAAGCTTTCACAAGATGGCACTAAATACAAAGAAAAAGCTTTAATTAACATTTCGTTATTTTCTGATTTTAAAAGAATGCACATGTAAACAATCGCAAAAATGTCTAAGGGAAGGAATTTTAGTTTATATATATTTTATAATATATCCTATACCACAGACGTTTCGTTTTAGTTTAAAATTTTTAGGGAATGTCGGAATGTATGCTTTACAATATTTCTTCCTGAAATCGATTGTTTTTCAGCGAAGATAGTTGCATGTCTCACTTTCTGGCAACCCAAAATAGTGTACGCATATGAAGAGCTAAGAGCTTTCCAAATTGCTTTACATTCCCCACAAAATATAGTGGATGGAAAAGTAAAAAGGCTATAACTTTGTATACCCTCCAACATTTGGAACGAATTTGGAATTTTTCAAAAAATAGCATTCGCCAAAAATTCTTTTAAAATCCTAAAAATGCCGAATATAGCTGTTATATTGTGTTTTAAACGAAGACGTATAGTTGCATAGGCAATTTTTGTCATAAGCCATTACAATATTGAAATACGAAACTTGAATAATGTAGCTAAAATCATCAAAACACCGAATATAGGGAGATATATGGGGCTGGACCTGCATAGACAATTTTCTGTTATATACTGTAGTTCCCATTACGAACTCTAAATACGAAATTTGAAACAACTCCGGTGAATGATGTCGTTAAAATTATAAAAATACCGAATATTGGGATGTACCATTATATGGAGGCTATAAGAAGACGTGGGTCTGCATAAGCAATTTTTTGTCATAGGCTATAGGACCCATTACGAATTCTAGGTACGCAATTTAAAACAACTCCTGTGAATAACGTACCCAAAAACGCCAAATATCTAATATCGGGGGTTCCGTAGTATGTGAGTTATACGATATCTTGAACCTATACAGATATTTCTCTTCCAGCGAGTAAAGTGCATGGAAAGATCCTCTAGTATGGATTTTTAACAATTCCATTGAACAATGTTGCCAAAATCATCAACATATCGAATATAGGGAGGTACAGATATACTGGGGATAAACCTAGTTAAACAATTCTCTTCCAGAGGGTAAAGTACTTAGAGAGAACTCCTTGTATGGGTTTTCAGACAATTCCATTGCAAGATGTGGCTAAAATTATCAAAATACAGAATAAAGGGGGGGGTACGGTTGTGTGGGACCTATACAATATCGTGGACCAGTATAGACAATGCTCTTCCAGGGGGTAGAGTACTAAGAAGGAATTCCTTTTGTGGATTTTCAGACAATTCCATTGGGCAAATGTGTCTAAAATCATCAAAATACTGAATATCGGGTGGTACCGTTGTAATCGGGCTATACGATATAGTAGACCTATATTAACAATTCTCTTCCAGAAGATAAAGTACTTAGAAAGAACTCCTTGTGTGGATTTTCAGAGAAGTCCATTGAAATATATGGCTAAAATCATCAAAATACCGAATATCGGGTGGTTCCGTTGTATGGGGGCTATACGATTTCGTGGACCTATGCTAACATTTCTCTTCCAAAGGGTAAAGTACTCAGAAATAGCTCCATGTGTGGATTTTCAGATAATTCCATTGGCAACTTTGGCTAAAATGATCAAAATATCAATATCATGTGGTACCGTTGTATGGCGACTATACAATATCGTGGACCGATTCTTTATTCGTTTTGACTCTAGCGTGACTACAACAGACGGACAGACGCACGGACTGATAGCCCTAAATCGTCTTAGAATTTTACATTGATCAAGAATATATATACTTTGTTATGTCCAAAATGATTATTTCGATGAGTTACAAACGGAATGACGAACTTAATATACTATGTATGGTGGAGGGTATAAAAAAGCATATATGTAACTTATAGGAGTAACTATTAAATATAATTTTAAAATTATTAATAATATAAAACATAGCGTGTTCTTGATATACGAAATGATATGGCGTGAACACTTAAAGTTGTCATTTTGTTTACTTGGCTGACTTCCCTTAAAGACCAAGGTACTACTTGCGAACATAACCAGAAAGGAAAGGTCAAAGTTGATATCCTACAACACTATGTGTATTAGTAGAGCTTCTGTAAAAAAAGTTTCTCTAGTACCAAATAACATTGCTGTATAGTGAATGATATGACTTTGATAAGGATTTTATTAAAACATATTTATGAGAGCATTATATATACCGGACTGAGTTTACCAAAAGGAATAAAAAGGAAACCTCCTTCGAGAGTTATCGTGAGCACCAGAACATCGCAAGATCGAGACATATGGCATTGTGGTTTTAGTCAGAATTCGATGTAAATTAGAGGCAAGACACATCATTGCATAGGTCTGAAATTTGGTATTGTCCCCATATAACTGTACTTAGAGATATTCGGTCTTTTGACTTGTGTTAGACTTTTCACCAGGAAAGTTTCACATTTGAAATTTTAAATTCCTAATGGGTACTACATCCTATGACCGGAAATTGCTTATACAGATCCACGTTTTCGAATAGCTCCCATATAAGTGTACCTCCCCATATTTTTTGCGACATTTCCTGGAAGTTTCGTATTTAAATATCGTCTTTGGATAGCCCCAACGTAATGGAAACTAACTATACATGGTGAGATGAAAAAAACTGCAACCAATTTCAGACTGCTGTCGTTTCTAAACCACTCGTCCGACAGTTGTTAACATTATTCCAGTGACAGCTCATTATATTGTTTACAAACGTACAAAAGCATTTTTGTGAAATTTTCCAAAAAAAAAAAAACTTATTCGTTATGGAATTCAAGCGTGATAGTGTGATCTTCTCATATTTGGCTGGAAAACAACAAGTGGCTACTCGTTAGAGCATTCCAGCATTTAAATGTGAATAAATCTTTTGTGTCTCGTACCATCGCTCGTTACCGTGATACTGGTAGCGTAGCCTGACGTCAAGAAAGTGGACGGAAGAAAACATCTACATCAGAAGAAATAGTTCGAAAAGTAAGGAAGCGACTTGATCGAAACCCGCGTCGCAGTGGCCGAAAAAAAGTGGTGTACTGCCGAATTTGGATTTCTCCGATGAGAAAACATTCATTGTCCAGCAGTTTGTAAACAAACAAAATGATCGTGTTTACTTGCCAAAGAGGTCAGCTGAAAATGTACACCTTCGGTTGGCCATCGGAACTCAAGCGCCGGTCAAGGTGTGGGCCGCCGATGGTCGCTCTCCGCTCATATTAATCGACCGTGGCATCAGAATAAATGCTGAAAAATAAAAAATCGCGAAAATATTCTGGAGGGTGTATTAAAGCCTTGGGCACGCAAACATTCTGGCAGCAGACCTTTGACATTCCAACAGGACTCAGCACCATTTCACTCAGCATGCGCCACCCAAGAATGGTTACAGAATGACGCTCCTCGTTTCATTCCAGCGCACAATGGCCACCAAAATCTCCGGATACCAATCCTTGGACTATTGTGTCTGGAGTATTTTGGAAAGCAAGTTTGGCACTAAAAAAAATCCAAGGTGTCGATCACATCGAGCTAGCGCTTCGCCGGGAATGGGCCAAAATACCGCAGAGCAGCATTCGGACAGTGTGTGACGGTTTCATTGGCCGTTTAAAGGCCATAATTCGTGCCAAAGGTGACCAATTCGAACAAATCTAAACTTATTATAAAATTTGATGCTATTTCCGACATTTTTGATTTCATTGAATAACATTAAAAAAAATGTAAAAATTATGGCGTTTGACTTTGTAATTGGTATTTTATGGTATAAGCAATATTTTTCAACGGATTTTTTTGGAAATTATTTTCAAATGTTGGAGGGTATTCAAAGTTTACTTGTTTAAATTAATTTCTGTTATATGAAATCGCAGTTATTTAAAATTGTGCATTTCTATTTAATAAAGACTATAATTAACATGGAAACATAATTTTGTTTTTTTTTTTTTTTGAGTAGATTGTTTCCTAAGCTTTATTAAGAAAATATATATCCAACAATTTATTTCACAATTTTAAAATTTCTACGATTGTATCTGATATGCCACGGTATCTCTATACTCCGGAATATAATAATCATACATTGTTATAGATGCCGGTTGTAGCAGTAGTACCTCATGCGTCTTGACAGCTCTTATAGTGAGACATTTTTCCTCATTATCATCGGCCAATAAATGTTTGAAATATGCCAAGCATTTGGTGTCCGAATTTTCCAATTCAACACGAGCTACAAATTCTAGACTTTGTAAGTCTTCAACGGATTCTGGTGACGCAATAAATCCAGAAGGCATATTAATTTCCATAATCACCATATTACTTTGACGATATTTTAGTTTGTCGGACGGATTAAATTGAAAGCAAACCTCCAGTTCCATGGCAGTGACAGAAGACATTTTAGCCAATGGCGAAATGGAAAATGATTTCAGTTGTTGTGGTAATGCGATTCGGTCCGCTATGCTGAGGGGCCTGTCCGGTGGTGTGTTATTTTCTTTGATATCATATGATTCGATATTTTTCAATTCCGTCTCCAATGGAATGTAATAATGATAGGCTAACTGGAGTAGAGCATTTCCTTTGCCCTCAATTGTTAGTTCAAGCAAACGCGTTGCTTTTGGAAGCTGAAAATTTTTTGAGAGCGTGAGAAAATAAGCTAATAGTGGACTTTATTTCAATACAATTCTTACCACAACTTGTTGCCATATTTCGCTATTGCTCGGATCGATACCAAACATGCCGTTGGCAATCTTCAACCTCTGGGCGTCCACTGCCTCATAGTTGATTTTAAGCAGAGTTTCATTGGTACTGGGATATTTTTCATTTTATCGAATGAGTGCCTGCAAAGCAACCACTGTATCGTGGGTGGATCTGAAACCTCCAACTTTATTGCGCTGCTGCAAAATCCATTGAAATATGTTTACATTATCCATTGAATTCCTTTCCAATAGAGCCATCAGAGCATATGCCGTTATTTCAACATCATTGGAATGGGCTGGATTCGAGGACTGCCACCACTTTAAACCATCTTCGGTATGTGATTTTTGTTCGAGTTTTGTCAACACTTCGTTGGCATGTTCATTCTTGGACATTTGTAATGCTACTGCCACTAAAGCTATGGCGTAGCTGTCATTGATGTTGTTGATATTGTCCACCAAATAATTGACTCCGTTTTGTATGACAGTTTTATATTTTCTTCTAAATTCCTGCGGTGAAAAAATAAATGTTATAAATTAGACGATACATAAAAAACATAGGCGTAAACTTAATAATATTTAGTAGAGATAATGTCCTTGGTATTGGCGAGCCTACTGCCCATATCCAACCAAGTTCAATATTAATTGCATCTGACTACCATATGCCTAGCTGGCTTTTCAGAACGTTTTTACCTTCCATCATAGTGTGGAGGGTTTCAAGCACCTCGAAATATCCCACACACAGGAAAATGGGCCATGGGTCCGTAGGTAAATTGGCATTTTGTATTCCCAGTATGTAAGAAACATACTTGCAGAAATCTAGGTCTAAATTTTGATGTAGCCACCCCCATCTTGTCACTGTACCTCCTGATTTTTGGTATTTTCACGATATGCCACATTTTCACAGAAATTATTTCAAAGTTATGATGACATCTATTTCAAATTTCAGATTTATTCCTTCACACGGTAACAAATGAAGTACCATTTAACTTTTCGTACAATTAAAGCACGGATATCCAAAACCGCCTAAATAACTCAATCCCGGATACAAATAGAGACCTCAATATCAAATTTCAATATTCCAGCTCATTCGTTTAAACACTACCATATTTTGTACCCCTTAGTACTTTTTGAACAATTATACACGTATATCTTAAACCACATCCATACGTCAAACCAGATACCAATAGTGACATCTATATCAAATATCAGTATTTCAGCTGCATTCCTTCACTCAAAACTAAATTTAGTACTTTTCGTATAATTGTAGTACAGATGTTTAAAATCACATCTATATATCAATTCTAGATACCAATATCAAATTTTAGGATTTCAGCTATATCCTTTTTCGTACAAAATATAGGACGCATCAAACACAGGTGCCATCAATAATCCAAATTTCAATTTTTGAGATTTTTTTCTCTATCCCTTCACCCACTATCAAATATAATACCTTTAATAACTTTTCGTACAATTTTGTTACACATTTCGAGAAAACACCCCCGTATATTAACCACAAGCACCAACAGTGACATCCATATCAAATGTCAGAATTGTACAGCACCATCCCCCCACCCACTACCAAATTTAGTGTTATTTTCGCACAATTATAGTACACAATATGTACAATTATAAATACCAACAGAGACCTCAATATCAAATTTCGGGACCCAAGTCTACACATACCAATACCAGGTTTAGTACCACTAAGTACTTTTCGAACAATTATGGTACACTAATACCAAATTTTACATTTCAAGTATTTTCTGTTCGTCCAATACCTAATTGTACCAAATATAGAACTGTTTAGTGCCTTCCGTGCACTTGTGCTACACATTTACAAAACCACCTCTTTATCACAAATCTACCACCAACAGGGACACGACTTTTCAAAACTACCTACATACCTAAGTCCTAAAGTGCAATAGTAATCTTTGTTTCCAATCTCAGCATTCCAGCTCTATCGGTACACCCAAATCGAAACCGTACCAAATTCAGTGCCATTTAATACTTTTCGTGCACTTAAGTACAAATTTCGAAAACTACCTCCATATGAAATTTCAGGATTCCAGCTCCATACGTTTCTTTAAATTCAGATTGTAACATATTTAGTACCATACCGTACTTTTCTACTACCTTCTTACATCGACCCTACTCCTCAACCTTGATTCCTATTCCAAATTTCAAGTTTTTAGCTCTAACCGTTCATATGATACGAAATGGTATGTAATTTATTACATTTAAGTACTTTTCGTACACTTTCAAAAACCCTTTGGGGTTTCAGTGACCCTCCTTTCAAAGTGAAGAGTTCTAGCTCTACTGATTTGTTACTACATTTCGTTGCGTTCTAATATAAGCTTCCACAAAAAAAAAAAAAAAAAAAAAAAAAAAAAAAAAAAAAACAGCCTTATCTGGTACATTCAGAACACCAAAACCTAAAATTTTTAGCTTTAGCCGTTTCGGGAGGAATCTAATATTTTTATTTCATTAGGCTTAGTGGATCATCATGCAGACCCTAGATACAGTTGAGCTTACCTCATCTGACGAGAAAATTTCACCAGCGATATTTTATCCGGTGACCATCCAAAGTGGTAAGCTTCAGTCTTTGCTTTTGATCCATTTTCTTTCTTCTATTCTGACCATAACCCTGACTAAATGTAAAATTTAATTTTCTTTAATTATACCCTACAACACTTTGTGTTGGGGGTATTATAAGTTTGATTGGGCCAAAAATTATGTAACACCTCGAAATATTGATTTCCCACATAGGAAAGTATATATGGATGTTCCTAGCTCGCCGAGATGAGTCGATCTAGCTATGTATGTCCGTCCGTCCGTCTGTCCGTCTGTCCATCTGTCCGTCTGTCCATGTTAATTTGTAATCACTCTACAGGTCGCAATTATGGCCCGATCTTCACGAAATTTAGAATGAAGGTGTGGATAAGGTCAGAATAGAACCCTATTTCTTTTGGAGATGATCGCACAATATTTAGGTGTCGAAATGGACCAAAAACTGAAAAATTTCCTGATTTTGCAGTTGCTCTACAGGTCGCAATTATGGACCAATCAACGCGGAAATTTGCATGGGGCTAAAGCTTCGGGCTGGGCAGAAGCCTTCCGATTTTGATGGTCATCGGGCAATAATTAGTGGGTGAAAAAGACTATAACATTTGTGTTAAATAAAAGTCAAATTTCCATTATACCGCGAATATTTTTAGTCCCGGCGAAATCATAAATAGACGAACAGGTCAATTCTGACCTTTACGTAGATGCCGATAGTAAATATATCGGATATATATAGCGAAATATATACAATGTGTATATACAAAGGAAAGGAATGTTAGATGGAATGCTTATATCTCAAGAATGGCTGGACCGATTTTGACAAATTTTGTCAATTCAGAATGCCCTCTTGACATAAAAGTATAAAATCTAAAAAAATCGCATAAAAATAAGTCAAAAATGATCTTAATATAGATTTTTTAGTATTTTGTGACATTTTTTTTATTTTTTCATATTTTTTATCGCATGCAATTTTTTCAATTTGACTTATAATATTAAGGTGTAATATTTTTCCACCTTACAACACAGGTTTGGGATATTATATACAGATTGCAATTATCATCCGATCCTCACGAAAAGGATAGGGTTAGGCTCAGAAGGGCTAGGCCTTTTGTTTTCAAAGATGTCCGCAATATATTTAGGGGTTGAAATGGACCAACAAGGTCATAAATAGAAACCAAAGGACACGAAATCTCGCATGAAGTTAGAGTTTAGGACAGCGGGTAGAATGTACCACTACTTTTGTCTGAAAAATACCAACATTACTTACAGGCGATAGCCGAAATACACAAAATGCGAACTTCTGCCTTTTTTGCTGATTTCGTTGACGAATATAGCCAAATATCGTAGACAAGAAGATCGTATAGAAGAGTCTAAATTTGTAGATACAGAGGGGCCTCTTGCTTTTGGAGATGATCGCAAAATACGACGGAGTGCGTAAATATTAGGCAAATGTCCCTGGTCAAAATGCTAAGGGTAATATCTGGGCAGTGCTCCGTCACATAATTTCAAAAGCGAAATCTTCCAAAATGGATTTGGACATAAGGGGGCTTTGAACATATTGTAGTGTTGTAGGGTATCACATGGTCGGCCCCGCACGACTATAGCCTTTGCTTACTTGTTTTTTTTCAGTCGTTGGTATGTACCCAGATTTCGGGAAATAATTTTTTCTTGGGGGACGGGTCGGAATATGTGACTCAAAAGTCCGAGACCAAAACTCGGTTTAAATCCGTATCTACTAAATTGATACTGACAATATAGGTATGATTTCAAATTCCTACCCACAAGTGTTCACATTATGGTGTCATTTAAAGTCATTCTGGGGTAATATCTAAATGATCGATTTTTTAGACCCGAATATTTTATAAAACCCCCAAAAAGTAAAAAAAGGACCCATTATGGAATTCTATACCTTTTCAAAATGCTACAGAATTTTTTACTGGATACAGAGATATGGGACATTAAACACAGACAAGTCGATTTTATTAAAAAAAATCCGAGAATTTTTACTAAACTAGAGCTAAGCCATTATTGGACCATAAGTTAATCATGGTTTGATTAACATAGACAGGCGTACGGAGGCACATAAATAAATCGACTCAGTTCGTTGAAACAGAAAGATCAATATGAGAACAATATTTCGAGGTGTTACAAACGTTTAGGAATAACAAGTAAAAAAGCAGTAAGTCCGGCCGGGCCAAACTCTCAATAACCTCCACAATTTGGAACGAATTTGGAAATTTTTGAAAAAATAAATTACGTCACAAATTCTGTTAAAATTGTAGAAATACCGAACATAGCCGTTATATTAATGTCTATACGAAGACGTGGTCATGTATAGGCAACTTTTGTCACAAGCCATTACAATATTAAAATACGAAATTTGAACAAAAATCTGGTGAATACTGTAGCTAAATCATGAAAATACCGAATATAGAGAGGTACCGAATATCGGGGCTATACGAAGACTTGGACCTGCATAAACACAGACTGTAGTATCTATTAGGAACTTCAAATACGAAATTTCGAACAATTGCGGTGAATAATGTCGCTAAAATCATCAAAATACCGAATATGGGGAGGTACTGATATATGGGGCCTACACGAGGACCGGGACCTGTATAGACAATTTTCTGTCATATATTGTAGTACCCATTATGTGTTCTAAATACGATATTTTAATCAACTACAGTGAATAATGTCCCTAAAATCGTCAAAATATCGATTTTATCGGGGTAAATTGCTTAGAAAGAACTTCTAGTGTTTATTTTTAGACAATTCCATTGAAAAATGTAGCTAAAATCGTCGAAATACCGAATATAGGGAGGTACCGTTATGTGGCGGACATACGATATTGTGGACCTATATAGTCAGGAGGTAAAGTACTCAGAAGGAAGTTATTTTCTATATTTTCAAAAAAACAATTATCAAAATACAGAATATCGGGGGTACAGTTATATGGGGGTTATACGATATCGTGGAACAATATACCCATCTTCAAAGTAGACCTGCCTGCAGACAAAAGACTGATCTGTACAAAATTTTTGCTTCCTATTTCATTCGTTTCGACTCTAGCGTGATTACAACAGTTGAACAAGCGAACGGACAGGGCTAAATCGTCTTAGAATTTTACACTGATCAAGAATATATATACATTGTTATGTCTAAAATTATTATTTCGATGAGTTACAAACGGAATGAGGAACTTAATAGTATACCTTCCATACTATGTACAGTGGAGGCTATAAAATAAATTGTATTATGTTTGTCATTGATGTTCTCTGCAATGTGTGAACCGATTTTATTTCTGCAAACTTAATTTGGAAAGTGTTGTTAATACCGAGCTTTATATGTTTAAACAGTCTCTGTATATGTGTTAATTCATATGTAAATGCCATTTTAGTTCATTGATTTCGAAAAATCATTTTTGTTATATTTCTGTGAATTAGCGACTGACTGATTCTACGCCATATACTTTAAACCTTTATGCTAAAGTTTGGGAGTGGTCGAAATTGCCGGCAGCCTAACTTCAGATGTGAATTTGCCAGCATTACGATACAAAATATAATCTCCTTTTCAAGGATGCAATCTGATCCAAGAATCACATCGAACTTTTTCCACAAATTTTACTTACCGAACTCTCCAAAAATGTCATCAAAACAAAGGCAGTAAAACCGTAACGATCCTGATGGGCTGGATTAAATAAATAGCCGGTGTAATGGAATTCCCCCGACGACAACTGCTGTGATTTCAGAAAATCCAAACCACTTCTGATTATACGATTTTCTATGCCGGTATAACGTTGTGCCTTAATAAAGAAGCGTATAATATAGGCCGTTAGCCACGTGCTCTCCTCCGTTTGGGCAGTCGGTCCAAAAACACTGAAGCCACCGTTCGAATGACGATAACTCAATTCCTCCTGATAACCAATTTCGATGTAGCCAATGGCTTTTTTCACCAGATCGGGATTTTCCGAATATTTGCCTGTGGATCGCAAGTGATCCAAAACCAAAACATTGGGAGCAAATTGAACCATTTTTTGCTCACCACAACCGGTGGGTAATATCACCAAGCTCTCCAGATTATCCAATGGCGTGTGGAGAATATCACTTGCCACAGAAAGTTGCAGATATTCGGTATCGGGAACTATATTCTCAGGTATGTCAATATCGATGGATGAAAGAAATATTTCTTCAATCTCCATTAGATTTATAAGTACGTTCTTATTGTGGTTTTCCATTGTACCCGTGGGTTCCACTAAGAGTTCTTGAGTAATGGCATCGTTAAATAAATGATTAGTTGCTTTGATGTGAATTTTTAGGGCACCCAGCTTTTTGGGTTTAATAAAGAAGTACAGAGTTGTACCACCATTTGCTGGCACATTAGTTTGTTTCGAATTCTCGGATATGCCCTGTGGTTGCATTGTTGACTCATCAATAAAATCATAGTCTCCATCAGAACTGATCATAGTTGTGAGGGTGTCTAAAACTTCGTTGTGATAATTAAATATGACCATCGATATCTTGACCACTTCACCTCTCTTGATGGAGTACGGTAGACTTGTGGATATGAAAAATTTCTTGAAAACAATAATATCTGTCGATTTTGCTACCATGCCGAATACAATGTCGTCATTTACGGAAAATGCCGTAATTAACCATGTGGTAATGGTGTCGGGAACGTTAAGGGTGAGTTGCGTAGTTTCATTCACGCTAACGGAATTTGATTGATGTTAGTAAATGCTGTTCCATTCTAAATCCATAATCATACTCACTTTTGAAGATCCATAAATATCCATGTTTCTGGAAAATGTGTACGCACTTCTATGTCACGTTCGAAACTCACACCTGTCTTTGGCATAAGTCCTTGCTTTCTTGACACATCTTGCAATACCAAAATATATAAAAAAAAAAAACGGATAAATTCTGAATACAAGTTAAGCAATCCCCAATACATACCAACAGGAATCTCATACTCATAAGCAGCATTTGTGAGGGTTAAAAGGCCGGAAATGAATCCAGGCTGTATGACATCCCAAACGGAATAGGACAAATCTAACATTAAGTCATGGAAAATATGTTCGCGGTCGATATCATAGTCTGGACCTAAAAGTTGGGCACCTAAATCGACTGCCAGTAGGGCTACATATGAATTAGTTTTAGTCTTTATAGTAAGCTCAACTTCCTCTCCAGGTTTGGCCGCTGGTGGAGCGGATATTGATATCTGTGACGAAGAATTGAAAAATACGTTTTTAAATTTAGAGAAATCAATATAAGAATAGCACTAAGCTCGATCGGAACAAAATTGCTAATCCCTTCAGTTGACTTCAAACTTGTTGTTTGTTTTCTTGGAATTTTGAGGTCAACGCAAGTGACAGTTTGAATAAAAATATATAAAAATAAATTGCATTGTGTTAGTCATTGATGTTCTCGGCAATGCGTGAACTTATTTTATTTCTGCAAGTTACATATAAAAAGTATCATCAATACCAATGTTTATATGTGTAAACAGTCTCTGCAAACAGTGCATTTATTTCGAAACTTGATTTTGAAATATTAAGAGGGTGAGATGAAAAAACTTCAGACTGCTGTCATTTCTAAGCCACTCGTCCGACAGCTTTTAAAATTATTCCAGTGGCAGCTCATTATATTGTTTACAAGCGTACAAAAGCACCTTGGTGAGAATTTTCCAGAAAAAAAGTTATTCGTAATGGAATTCAAGCGTGATAGTGGTATTTCTTCATATTTGGCTGGAAAACCACAAGTGGCTATCGTTAGAGCAATCCAGCATTTAAATGTAAATAAATCTTTTGTGTCTCGTAAATAAAATAGACCCAAAAGAGCTAAAGAATTGCTTCGCTTGGACGAAAGTGGTGAACTGCCGAATTTGGTTATCTCCGATGAGAAAACATTCGTTATCCAGCAGTTTGTAAACAAACAAAATGATGGTGTTTACTTGCCAAAGATGTCAGCTGAAAATGTGCACCTTCGGTGGACCACCAGAACTTAATTGCCGGCCATGATGATGGTATGGACCGCCATAACAGCCGATGGTCGCTCTCCGCTCGTATTAATCGACCGTGAAATCAGAATAAATGCCGAATATTATCACGAAAATATTCTGGAGGGTGTATTAAAGCCTTGGGCACGCAAACAGTTTGGCCGCAGACCTTGGACATTCCAACAGGTCTCAGCACCATCGTACTCAGCACGCGCCACCCAAGAATGGTTACAAAAAGAGGCTTCTCGCTTCTTTTCCATCGTACCATGGCCACCAAAATATCCGGATACCAATCCGTTGGACTACTGTATGTGGAGTATTTTGGAAAGCAAAGTTGGCACTAAAAAATACCAATGTGTCGATCACCTCAAGCAAGCGCTTCGCCGGGAATGGGCCAAAATACCGCAGAGCAACATTCGGGCAGCGTATGACGGTTTCATTGGCCGTTTGAAGGCCATAATTCGGGCCAAAGTTGAACAACCCGAACAATTTTAAACTTATTCTGAAATTTGGTGCTATTTCCGACATTCTCGACTTTGTTCCGCTTGTCTTTGTTGCAGTTTTTTTATTTCACTCTATATGTGAGTGGGTGACTAACTGATTCAACAACCAAGCTAACTTCGCAAGGTTGGAAAATTCGTTCTAAAAATTCACAAGGTACTAAAAGATACCAGAAATTATATTAACTTTTGAAATGGGGGTCGTTTACGGGGTGTAGGATAAATGATTTTTTTTCGGAAATTTGCAAAATTTTTAAGTAGCACTGAATGTTGTACCATTTGGTATTATAAGATAGAGTTAAAATTTCGACATTTATGTATCTGTATTAATAAAAGAATAAAGTTGATTGACTGACTTAACGATTCATCAACGCTCAGACGAAACGACTGAAGCTAGTTTCTTGAAATTATGGTTCGAATTATGGGTTTTGTTCGAAGGGACAGATAAGATATTAAACGGTACTAAATTAAGTACAATTTGAATTTGAACAAGTTAAAAAGCAGTAAGTTCGGCCGGGCCGAACTTTTAATACCCTCCACCATTTGCAACGAATTTGGAAATTTTCAAAAAATAAAATCCTTAAAAAATTCTGTTAAAATTTTAAAAATACCGAATATAGCCGTTATTTTGGGGTCTATACGACGTGGGCATACATAGGCATTGTTGGTCATAAGCCATTACCATATTCAAATTCGAAACTTGAAATAAACGGTGAACAATGTAGCTAAAATCATCAAAATACCGAATATAGGGAGGTACCGTTATATGGGGGCTATACGAAAACCTGGACCCGCACAGACAATTTTCTGCCACAGACTGTAGTTCCCATAACGAACTTCAAATACCAATTTTAAAACAATTCCGGTGAATAATGTCGCTAAAATCATCAAAATACCGAATATAGGGAGGTACCGTTATATGGGGGCTATACGAAGACGTGGACCTGCACGGATAATTTTCCGCCTTAGGGTGTAGTATCCATTTTGAACTTTAAATACCAAATTTGAAACAATTCCGGTGAATAATGTCGCTAAAATCATCAAACTACCGAAAATCGGGAGGTACCGTTATATGGGGGCTTTACGAAGACATGGACCTGCACGGATAATTCTCCGTCTTAGGGTGTAGTATCCATTTTGAACTTCAAATACCAAATTTAAAACAATTCCCGTGAATAATGTCGCTAAAATCATCAAAATACCGAATATAGGGAGGTACCGTTATATGGGGGCTATATGAAAACGTAGACCTACATGGCCCATTTACGAACTTAACTGCCTACTGGAAAAATAAACATGTGTGCAAAATTTTAGCCACCTATCTCAATTCATTCGAAAGATAGCGTGATTACAACAGACAGACGGACCGACAGACGGACATCGCTAAATCGACTTAGAATTTTACGCTGATCAAGAATATATATATAAAGTTAATATACCCTCCATAGTATGGTGGAGGGTATATAAACCGGTTGGAGCTGGAATCCTGAAATCTGAAATTAACATTACTAGCGCAGTGTAGGATTGGAATATGGAGGCAGATTTCGAAATTTGTGCTTATGTGCACGCAACTTACTAAATGGTTAAATTTGGTACAATTTCGAATTGGGTGAACTGATAGAGTTGGAATTCAGAAATAAAATTATTATTGGATTCTAGGATTGAGGTATGGGGAAATTCGTACAAATGAGTACTAAGTGATACTAAATTTGGTACAATTTAAGTTTTTGGGTGAACCTGTTGAGGTGGAATACTCAAATGTTAAAATAACATTTCTATTGGACTATATGATATTTATGAATTGTACCTAAGTACACTAAATAGAACTAAATTTGGTACAATTTTGATTTGGATGAACCAATAGAGTTAGTATACTAAAAATTGGAAATAAGATTACTGTCGGAGTGTAGGATTGGGGTATGTAGGGTATGTATTGTACTAAATTCGGAAAAGTTTGGTTTAGGTTAAACGGATGAAGCTGGAAATTTTAAATTTTGCATTTTGATCTCTTTTGGTGGAAGGTTACCGATAAGGAGGTAGTAAGATCACGAAAGGTACTATATTTAACACAATTTGATATTGGGTGAATCGATAGTGCATGAAATCTGAAATTATTTGTATCCATGACCTATGGAGGTAGTTTCGGATATGTGTACTTAAATTGTACGACAAAGTACTGAATGTTGAAGGGATAGAGTTAAAATTCTGAAAATTGATATTTAGAACACCTATGGTATCTGTGCTTGAGATTTGGTGGTGGTTCGGAAATGCGTCGTACATTTGCACGATTCGTACAAAATGGTACTATATTTGGTATTGGGTGAAGGAATAAAGCTGAAATCCTGAAATTGTATATTAATGTCACTGTTGGTGTCTGTGGTTAATGTGTACTATATGTGTCTGGAAATGTGTACTATAATTGTTCGAAAAGTACTAACTGGTACTATATTGGGTAAAGGGATAGAGTTAAAGTTCTGAAATTTGATATTGGGACAAACCTGAAATCATACAAATTGTCTATAAACGTCATTGTTGGTCTGTGTTTAAATTTGTGCTATAATTGTTCGATAAGCACTAACTGGTACTAAATTCATTAAAGGGTTAGAGCTGAAATCCCGAAATTTGATATTGAGGTTCCTGTTGGTATATTTGATTGATATACGGAGGTAGGTTTGAAAATGCGTCCTATAAGTGCACAAAAAGTACCAGTTTTACTATAATTGGTACATTTTGGTGTTAGGTGAACAGATAGTTCTTGAAATTTGGTTGCTGTAATGTGTGGCCTTGACCTACGGGGGTAGTTCTGGAAATGTGCAATACAATTGTACGAAAAGTACTGAAGGGTATTTTATTTGGTATTGGGTGAAGGGATAGAGACAAAATTCTGATATTGATGCATACATTACTGATGGTATCTGTGTTTGAAATTTACCGGTGGTTTGGAAATACGTCCCATGAAAAGTTATAAATGGTACTAAAGTAGGTATTGGGTAAAGGGATAGAGCTGAAATCATTTAATTTTTATGTAGATGTCTGTGCTTAAGATATGGAGGTAGTCTTGGAACTATATTTGTTCGAAAAGTACTAAGTGGTACTAAATTGGGTATTGGCTAAAGGGATTGAGCTGGAATACCCAAATTTGATATTGAGGTCTCTGTTGGTATCTGGTATTGAGATATGTAGGTGATTTTTCAAATGTATACTATAATTATACGAAAATAGCTTAATTTGGTATGGGTGAAGGGATATAGCTGGTATCCTGAAATTTGATTAGGAGGTCGTGTCTGAGGAGACGGAGCTGTTTTTGGATATGCGTATTATAATATTTCGAAATGGTACAACGAAGATATGTAGATTGTTTTGGATATGTGTACTAAATGTCACTATGTTTGGTATTGGGTGAAGGAATAGAGCTGAAATTCTGTAATTTGATATTGAAGTCACTATTGGTTCCTAGGGTTTACATATGGAGGCGTTGAAATAAGTTTGAACAAAAAAAATGAATTGTGTAAAATTAACGACTTTGAAGACTTTTTGGTGTAAATTCTTTTTAATCTCTTTCTAATTTTCGTAAAGAACGACGACGACAAAAATTGGTGTTTTGTCCAGAATAATTGAATTTCAAACAACCGTGCATTGCAATACCTTACGGCTACTTACCTTATTCTCGAATTCATTGGGAAATTTCAAATATTGTTCACAATAACGCAATTGGCCCTTCACAATGTAATGAACGTAGACAAAAGAAAGTGGAATCATCTCCATACTTGGTTTGATTTTGATGGTGTGCGATGTTGTGTTGTCGGGTAATTTAATCAATTGCCTGCGAACAATATCGCCATGGCCAGTGACGGTGTAGATCAAATATGGTATAGGTAAATCGGACTTCAACTCCAGATCAATGGTGGTATCAAATTTCAAACTGTAATAAGAACTTTCCTCATAAAAATTCCACAGATTTTTTTTGATTCAACTTACCTGGAATTCTTCAGTTTTAGTGTGCAAGCTGTTGTGGCATCATTAATTCCTCCATTATGGCCAATGACAATGTTTGGTAGATATTGAGAACTGTTGGCATATTGAAAAACAAAGGATTCTTCTTCCATATGGTCGATGGTAAATGTTCCCTCACCTTTGCCATTCAAATACGTTTCATATATTATTTCGCCAAGACTCATTGTCAACGGAGTGGTGGTATCATGCACCCTACTTCCATTCCAATGTTGAACAATGACCTTGATTTTATATGGCCTACCGTAGGAAAATTCAATTTCATCTTGCGGTATCAAAATCTCATATTTTTGCTTTCGAAAATTGAAAATTTTCAACACAGATTGGGAGATGGCCGTGTGGCTCTCTTCAAGTGTGGCCAAAACCTTAATCACCGGAAGATTCTGAGCTTGTGGCAAATCGCTGTATTTAAACTTAAATGAGGCAGTGTAATTTTCCATGTTGGCTTTTTGTTCAATCATTGTCTTATTGGTGGCCGGATTTAGGAGAGCAATTGTTGCATGGCCCTCAACATATTTACCAAATGTATATTTACCATAAACAGCCAGGCTAAATTCATCATTGTCAGCGAGTACGATATCAGAGTCGGCTTCAATGTATACACCGAATTTGGGCAGAACATATTTTTCCACTTTGAAATTTTTGACAGACTGTTTTTGATATTTTCCCAAGACGGAAGCGCGAATTAACCAATTTCCCAATATCGGATGTTCTGATACGTTGAATTTATTGGTATAAACGCCAGTATTCAATTTAATATCTTTGAATTGTTTAATGCGATTGCTGTTACCGTCCTAAAAGAAAAAAAATTATAAACAAACTATGTACTAAAACAGGACTAGGGGTAAAGTAATTGAATGTAATTAATTTGAATAAAGTAATTAAATGAGTTGAGTTAATGAGTCATCAACGCATAGGAAAAACGGCTGAAGATAGAATTTTGGGTGAGGGTCACTCTTGGTCCGAAGGTGTCAGATAAGGCTTGGTTTTTAGAAATCCGTACCAGAACAGTATTATAAAGTACTAAATTGTACTAAATATGGCATCGTTAGTATTTGAAGAACAAGTGTACGAAAAGAACAAAAATGTACTTCATTTGGTACCATTTCGTATCATGTTGGCAGTTAGAGCTAATAACGACAAACTTGGAGGTAGTTTTTTATATACAAAAAGTACTAATCGTTACTAAATATAGTAAAATTTGAAATTAAAAGAATGGACTGGAATTTATGAAATTTGAAATGAACACTATTGGTGGAGTGTAGTATTGGGATATGGGGGTATTTTTCGGAATTTGAATTTATATGCACCATAAGTACTAAATTGTACTAAATTTCGTAAACTTTTGGTTTTGGTGAACCAAAAGAGCTGGAAAAGCTGAAATTTGGAATTAATATTTATTTTGAATTGTATGATACATATGATGTACGTAGTTTTGGAAATTTGTACTTATATGTAGTAAATGGTACTAAATTTAGTCCAATTGAAATGTTAAGAGAACCGGTAGGGTTAAAATCCTGAAATTCGGAAATGAGATTTCTATTGGATTGCCTACATTATGCAGTTAGTAGTTATAGAAATTTGTATTTATTTGTAGTAAATAGTACTAAATTTGATACTTTTGAAATTTTGGGAGAATCCTGAAATTTGGAAATAATATTACTGTTGCATTGTAAGATTGGGGTATGTGACAAATAAATTTGGTACAATTTAAATTTTGAGAGTTGGAATACTGAAATTTGGAAATAAAATTTCTTTTAGATTGTATGATTGTTATGGAAATTTGTACTTATATGTACTAAATGGTACTAAATTTGAATTTGGGTGAACCAAAAGGGCTGGAATTCTAAAGTTTAGAATTGAGAATGGAATGGGGGCAGGAATGGGGTATGTAGGAAGTTTTGGAAATTCGTACGTATGTGTACCAAATATAGTACAATTTTTAATGGGGCGAACCGATTGGGTGATATACTGAAATCTGGAATTGGTATTACTGTGATAGTTTAAGATTGGGGTATTTCCTACATACCCCTTTGGAATTGTGGTGACCCGATAGAGTTGGAATTCTGAAATTTAGAGTGAGTGTCACTGATAGACGTTACGAAAAGTTTTAAAATTTTACTATACTTTTAAAATTGTACCATTTTGTATTATGTGAACGGCTCAAGCTAAAAGCCTGAAGTTTGGTATTGAAATTAATGTTGAAAAGTAAGTTTGATATCTGAAGTATGTTTTGGAAATGTGTACTATGTGTACGAACTGCACTAAATGTACTAAATTGTGAACATTTTGGCTTAGGGTGAACGGATGAGCCTGGAATTTCAAGATATTACATTATGGTCAATGTGATAGCATTGTGATGTTTTTAAAATGTGTAAAACAAGTGCATGGAAAGTACTAAATAGTACAATATTTGGTACACATTGCAATTAGGCTAACATATGATACTTGAACTCTGAATTTTGATTAAGGATGTTTATGTGTAGCCTGCACGTGTTTTTTGTAATTGTATAAAAAGTATTCAATGGTACTATATTCGGTATAGGCTGAAGGGATAGAGATAAAATTTTGAAATTTGATGTTTGGAGCTGGGTTTGAAAGCTCGTCTTATAATTGTAGGAAAAGTTCTAAATGGTACTAAAGTTGGTACTGGGCGAAGGAATAGAGCTGGAATAACAAAACTTGATATTGAGGTCTCTGTTGGCATCTGGAATTGAGATATGAAAATGGTCTTGAAAAGGTGTACTATAACTGTACGAAAAGAGGTAAAATTGGTGTTGGGGGAGGAACAAAGCTGAAATCCTGAAATTTGATACAGATGTCACATTTTGTGTCTGTGATTAAGGGATTGTACGAAAAGTGCTAAATGTTACTAAATTTTGCATTGATTTAACGTTTAGAGCTGGAATACCGTCATTTAATGTTAAGATCTCTGTTGTTATCTGGTGTTGGGATCTGGCGTGCTATAATTGTTCGATAAGAACTAAATAGTACTTAGTTAGGATCATTGTCCGTCTCTGGGATGAAGAGATGTCGATTGTTTTGGACATGCGTAATAAATGGTTCTAAATTTGGTATTGAAGGTAATGAAGGGATGGAGCTGATGTCACAGTTGGTTTCAAAAGTTTACATATGGAGACGTGGTAAAATGTTGAACAGAAACTTTTGGGTATAGATCCATTGCCCTTGGGCTGAAAATGTAGTACAATGTATGAAGTTTTGATTCAAAAGTTTTGTCAAACTGAACAAATTGTATATTTTAAGCACTAAAAAGGCCACAAACTCGAACTGGTAGAACGAATTTAAAATGTTCACATTTTATCTCACACTATTGGGGTTCCTTTGCATGTGGTCCAAACTATATAAAAGTCTTAAAATATATCTGTTTTCAGAAACTTAAACTCCTTTGGTGTTTGGATCTAAAAACAAGTAAAAAGGGTTTTAAGTTCGGACGAGCCAAAGTTTTTATACCCTCTAGCACTATGTTTATCAAAATAAAATGAAATAATAACGAGTAAGCAAAGGCTACAGTCGAGCGGGGCCGACCGTTGAATACCCTACAACACTATAATAAACGATACAGTTTATATAGGCGAGAAACTCGAAGGAATTCCACAAGATATTGTGACAAATAATAAAAGAAAACCATCAGGTTTCAAATAATAGCAACTTAAAATAATTTGCTCATTTCCAATTTATTGGTAGATGTTGCACGTAAATGGTCTTTCTAGATCTGAAACCAATATTTCCCAAAGACCTATAATCTCGCAGAAGTGGCAAAAGATTAACATTTATTATTGGTTTTTGACTAAAACGCATCTATATGAGATACAGACATTTGACAATATTCTTCAACGAAATAGTCAGAAGTGCGTCTTTCCTGTATTTGTGAATTCTCCAAAAAGTCACTGGAATGGACATTTTCGTATTTTGTCTACAAAAGTTGGCAAACAATTTCGCACATTGAATATTTTTGGATGGCCATCCAAAACTGCTTGGCTCTTGCAATGTCCGGTAACCCCCATTCAAATGTGCGTGAGGGTCGGGCGATAATTACGACCTGCTGACAATTTGGCAGTTTTTGGTCCATTTCAACCCCTAAATATGTGGCGATCATCTCCAAAAAGAGTAGGCTTCTATTCTGACCCTCATCTTATCCCCATGCAAAATTTCGTAAGGATCGGTCCATAAATGCGATCTGTATATGATATCCTGATATCCTAACTACTTAGTTTTGTTAGCTGTAGAAATATTACCAAATGTTTAATTCAAAATGAAAATATGCCAAAAATATGACAAAATTGAAAAAAAATATGAGAAAATTTTACAAAATCAATATTTTCATCTTTAGAGAGATATTTTTATGCGATTTTTTGGACGTTGTTCCTTTCCTGCCAAGAGGCCATTCTGAATTAATGAGAACTGTCGAAATCAGTTCAGCCGTTCTCGACATATAAAAGATCTTTCAAGCATATCTTCTTTGATAGACATATATATCGCACATATTTTGCTATATATCCGTTTTGTTAAATGTTAACATCAATGTAAAGGTCAGAAGTAACCTTGTCATGGCTTTGTGAGTTTGCCGGGATTTAAAATATTCGCGGTTTAATGAAAATTTTTGCATTTTTTCAACACAAAAGATATGGTATATTTTACCCGCTAAATATTATCCGATGACCACCCAAATTGGTAGGCTTCTTCCCCGCCCTAAACTCCAGCTACATGCGAAGTTCCGCATCGATTGGTCTATAATTGCGACCTGTATAGCTACTGCAAAATCCGACATTTTTTCAGTTTTTGGTCCATTTCGACCCTTAAATATTATGCGATCATCTCCAAAAGAAATAGGCTTCTATTCTGACCCTAGCCCCACCTCCATTCTAAATTTCGTGCAGATCGGGCCATAATTGCGACCTGTAGAGTGATTACAAATTAACATGGACAGACGGACAGACGGACAGACGGACGGACATACATAGCTAGATCGACTCAGCTCGGCGAGCTAGGAAGATCCATATATACTTTCCTATGTGGGAAACCAATATTTCGTGGTGTTACATAATTTTTGGCCCAATCAAACTAACCGACATTTTTTCAGTGTTTGGTCCATTTCGACCCTTAAATATTATGCGATCATCTCCAAAAGAAATAGGCTTCTATTCTGACCCTAGCCCCACCTCCATTCTAAATTTCGTGCAGATCGGGCCATAATTGCGACCTGTAGAGTGATTACAAATTAACATGGACAGACGGACAGACGGACAGACGGACGGACATACATAGCTAGATCGACTCAGCTCGGCGAGCTAGGAAGATCCATATATACTTTCCTATGTGGGAAACCAATATTTCGTGGTGTTACATAATTTTTGGCCCAATCAAACTTATAATACCCCCAACACATAGTGTTGTAGGGTATAAAAAGAGTAGATTATGTAATCTTGGAATATAATCAGTTTAAGTTAAAATAAAACGAGTTGAAAAGCAGTAAGTTCGGTCGGCCGAACTTTGATTACCTTCCACCATTTGGAATAAATGTTGACATTTTCTAAAAGAATAATAATAATTCACTAAAAATTCTGTTAAAATCTTAAAAATTTGGGGTCTATACGAACATGTGGACCTGCATAGGCAATTTTCTGTCACAGGCTGTAGTACCCATTAGGAACTTCAAATACAAAATTTGAAACAATGCCGGTGAATATTGTACCTAAAATTGTCAAAATACCGAATATAGGGAGGTACCGATATATGGAGGATATACGAAGTCCTGGTCCTGGACCTGCAATGACAATTTTCTGTCACAACCTGTAGTAACCATTATGAATTTTAAACACGAAATTTTAAACAATTCCGGTGAATAATGTCGCTAAAATCATCAAAATATCGGGAGGTACAGTTACATGGACCCATGAGTGGACCTATATAGCTCATTTCCAATACTAAAAGTCCTGCAGACCAAATACACATATTAATACAATTTTATTAACCTACTTCAATTCGTTCGGAAGGTAGAGTGATTGTCATTTTGCATGGAAATAACAGACCTTCCTACAATCTCAATTGTCAGATTTCTACTAATTTGGTTCGAAAGTGTGGCAGAAACCTTGAAATTAGCGAAAATCTGGAGATCCCTTTATATGGGGCTATACTTAAACGTAGGTCGATATAGCCCATTTTTTAAGACCACTCAGCTTTGTTTGTATTTGCAGTTTTGCTAAAGACAATATACACCTAAAATCCAGAGATTCCAAGGAATCCCAAAATAATCTGCTAGATTTTCCCCGTAAACATGGTTAGACAAAGGGACGGGCATGCATAACTCGACTCAGAATGTGATTCTAAGCAGACTACCAAAAGAAACTATGGGTCTGTATCCTTTGCTTTTGCATGTTACAAACAAATGCACAAAACATTCAGTACCACAGTATGGTGTGGGGTATAATAAAATGTATCCTTGTACTTACCATCACCTCAACTTGTATGGGTTCTATTGATTTAAACGGTTTTAGATGTTCATTCAATACCACGACTCTGAAGTGTACCACGTCACCCGGTTTATAAACGGCCTTATCAGTTTGTATATAAATTTTCAGATCATTATCCGATTCCGATTGCAGTTTTGTTGAGTTGCGAAAAATCAAACCTTTTACACCCTCAACGGAAAGTTCGTAGTCAAAGCTGGCATCCAATTTTGGTGGAAGAAATTGAATTGTTTTGGTTTCCAGCGGTTGAAGTTCGACCATCTGGACGTAATTGAAAAGCGGCTCCGCGACAAGGCTAACACGCATAAGAGCCGATTCGGTAGCATTATGTAGTGTCAAGCAAACGGAATAATTACGATTTGATTTTATTGTACCGGGTGCCACAACCGAATAGTAACTGCAAAGAAATTTTTAAGCTTTAAATGAGAGATCTTCATAGAATAATAGCCTGACCTTTCCGTTGTGATTGGTGCAATAAATGTCAGTATCAGCTGAAGTTGTAGCAATTTGTATAAAAGCCATTGCAGCTGCATCGCTGGCAGGCGGTCTGAGAACGACTGAGTAAAAAATGCACATGTAATAAAACTATGTCTTTTTATACTCTACACCATGGTGTGGAGAGGATATTACGTTTGTCTTTCCGTTTGTAACAGCTCGAAATATATATTGTAGATCCAACAAAGTAATGTCTGTCTGTCTGTCTGTCTCTTCGCGTTTGTGGAAATTACTCAAGCTTCCGAATGCAATGAAGTAGGTTGATAAAATTGCACTCAGATGTGTGTTAGCTCTGCAGGCCTCTTGGTATTGAAAATGGGGTATATAGGTCCACGTTTTGGTATAGTCCCCACATAACTATACCTACAGATTTAAATTTGCCGAATTTGCTGTAAATTGGCAGCATGTGTACCCATTATCTAAGGAACATCCTTGCAGAGAACCTTTTTATATGGATCCAAATTTCGATACAGTCCACACCTCCCTTTATTCGGTATTATGGTAATTTTAGCAACATTATTCAGCGGAATTGTTTTAATTTTCATATTTGAATATCGTAATGGCCTAAGACAAAAATTGAATATACAGGTTCACGTCTTCGTATAGGCCCCCATATCACGGCAACTCCCTATATTCGGTTATTTATGATTTTAGCAGCATTTTTCAACGGATTTTTTTAATTTTTTTTAATTCCTTCCAAGTAGCGAAGTGGGCATTAAAAGTTCGGTTTAGCCACATTCTTATTTATTTTGCCAATAGCTAATGTAGATTATCACTCATTGACAATCTTCGAAGAAAATGTAAATACTCTCTCACTGTTGAATAGAGGGAAAATCCATTTGGGTTTTCTGTTTGTGCTTAATCGCCACAATCATTTTCGACACCATAAAATATATATATTGGTGATAAGGGTACAATTCTGAGACGATCCAGCAATACGTACCTATGTGTATTTTGGTTTCGTGGAAAAAAGTATTTAAATCGCCCTAAAGTGCTCATTTCCAGCGAAAATGACAAAAGTCGGACAAGGCTGACTAATTGATACCCTACACGACTATGCATTCCTTTGCAGTTCCTCCCTTAACCAAAAATGGTTTACACTGTGATTTTGTGTGAAGTAAAGCATAACAATTATGATCGCCATTGAAAGTGGATTACGGCTTTAGAGTGGTTTTTATTTAAAATCGGATGCAAACAACTTATGGAAGTTATACCTAAATAGATTTTCACTAAATATGGCCATTTTTATACCCTACACTACATAGTGGTAAGAGTATTATGTCTTTGTGCATTAATTTGTAACAGGGAGAAGAAAGCGAGATAGACCCATAGTTACTTGTGAGGATATTTATAGAATCATTTTCTGAACCGATTAAGGCATGTCTGTCCGTCTGCCCATGTATTTTGTGAATAAAATACAGGTCGCATATATTATCCGATTGAGCTGATATTTTCCCAACAATATTTGTCTGGCCAAAGGACGAACCCTACTGACATTGGTGATAATCGAATCAGATTTAGATATAGCTTCCATATATCTTCAACCGATTTCGGGGTAATTGTGCATAAAATGGCTAATATCAGCACTAAATAGACGGAATTTTGCCAATTATGACTGAATTCATCCTAAAAACAGTTCAGATATGGCTATAGCGCCCATATATATGATTTATCCGATTTGGGGTTTAAAGTCCCTCACAAGCGTAATATGCATTCGACAACAATGATATTTGGTACAAGATATCTGATAGAGCTCGAAAAGACATTTGCCAAATTTTATCAAGATCGATTCAGATTTGGATGTAGGTCCCATATATATCTTCAACTGATTTTGAGTTAATTGTGCACCAAATGGCCACTATCTGTCCAAAAGTTCTGAATTTTGTTACATCCGATCGAATTCAGTCTAGTAGCAAGTACAAGTACATCAATTTTGTTGCGGGAGCTCTACTAAATATGACAATTGGTGTAGGGTATCATATTGTCGGCCCCGCCCAACTTTTGACTTTTCCTGACTGGTTTTAAAATCAAGTCGAGTATATGTCTTGTGGCCACCGCCACAGATTACTGTCAGTGGAGCCCTTTTAATGGCATTTTCCATCATATGGCCCAAAACTTCCGGCGATAGGTCACACATTCTTGACGGATATTATCTTTAATAGCTGCAATAGTCTGAGGCTTGTTGGCATAAACCCGCGACTTCAAAAAGGCCCACAAAAAGAAGTCTGGAGCGGTCAAATCAGGCGATCTTGTTGGCCAGTGCAAAACGCCGAAACGCCCCGGGAAATGTATCCTTCAGCATATCGATTGTGGCACGTGCAGTGTATGCCATTGCACTGTCCTGTTGGAACCTCATGTTTTCCAATCTCAATTCATCAAGTTGCAGCAAAAATAAGTCGTTGATCATTGCGTTGTAGCGCACACCATTCACAGTAACCGTTCGGTCCCCGACGTCTTCGAAGAAGAAAGGTCCAATGAATCCTCCAGCGAACACAGCACACCATAAAGTGACTGAGTGCCCCAGAAGCTTAAATTTTGCTTATTTACGTACCCGCTAAGATTTAAAAGGGCCTCATCATTCATGATTATCTTTGATGAAAAATAATCTTCTTCTTGGTGGCGATTAAAGATCCATCTGGACTATGTACGAAAACATCTTCAAATCTTGTACCAAAATTCGCTATAACGACCGTCGACTTATACCTATTTGCGTGGCATGTCGTCTTGTCGATGTCGACGGTGCTTTCATGACATCCTCGGCTACAGCAGTAATATTCTCTTTTGAACGGAAACTCCGGGGTCTGCCACGCCTGGCAGCATCTTTTGTTGTGCCAGTCTCTTCGAGCGAGCGGCTAAACGTTGCAGTGTTTCACCTGTGGGCCTTGGACAAAGTCACCTATCTCCAATATTCCACGTTCTGGAGTAGTGTAGCGCAAAATATTCGAGCAGCGGTTTCATTGGCCGTTTGAATGCCATAATTCGTGGCAAATGTGACCAATTCGAACAAATCTACACTTATTCTAAAATTTGATGCTATTTCCGATATTTTTGGCTTTCAATAAAATTAAAAAAAAAATAATGTAAAAATTATGAAGTTTGACTTTGTTTAAGTTTTTTTTTTTATCTCAACCTGTATATGTTTCATCCAATTTGGCATTTAGTCCCGCAACAATTATATTTGAAACCAGATATCATATATACTTCAGAAATAACTCTGCCAAATCATCGATTCAGCTTAGGATATAGCTTCCATATATATCTTTATCCGATTTGGTATTTATTGTGCACCAAATGGTTAATATCAGCCCAAATTAAGTGAATTTTTGCACATACGACCGAATACAGAAGCAAATATTTGAAATTTGCTGAAAATTTGTTAATATATAGCTATAGCATCCGAGTTTGTATTTAAGTACTCACACCCTTAAAATGCTATCCACAGCAAAGATATTTGGTCCAAGCTTTCAGATACAGGTAGAAAAATCAAGCAGTAATTTTTACAGAGATTTGAAAAAAATGGTTAGTTTAATAAACCAGATGTTTTTAAAGAAAAATAGATGATATTTTTTTCATAGTACGTATTATTTATACAAATTTCTTTTGTTCAGAGACTCAAAACGAAATTTGATTTGGATAATTTTTCCTTTGACAATTTCCAATAAAATTAAGTATAAAGAGAGATTTCGAATTTAAATAGGAAACATGTTCACTTTTAGTACAAAATATTGGGATGTAATTTGCATAAAAACCATTGATCCTAGATCTATGCTTTATTCAAAGATTTATAGTGAAATTTTGTGTGGAACATTTCTTCTGTTGACACCTACCGCAAAAAACGAAATCTAATGTGTATAAATCTTTCAGCGTTAAAATGAAAAAAGTCCGGGGAAATATTTATCAAAAAAAAAAAAAAAATTAATAAATAAATAAATAAATATTTTCGGATTTTTTTTTCGAACATTGATGCAGATATTATTCTTATATATAATGTAAATATAAATATATTTTCATTGGTAACTTTAGTTAAAATATGATGAAGAATATTTTTGTCTTTGACATCATCCTTCTAAAGTTATTATTTATAGGAGATTTTTGCGCTAACTTTATGTACTAGTATTTAACCTTAAAATCTGTTTCCAACATATATGAACTCCTGGCGTTTAGGTAAGTTTTAGGCTCTTGACGTCACCAAAAGATCTACGGTAGAATTTTAATGCTAATAATTTTGTAGAATATCTGACTTAGCTACAATCTTGTTTAAAGTGATTTTTAACCATATTTTTTAAATTAGACCAAAAAGAACCATTTGTTGACTCGCCTGAGGTTTATTTTTTTTTTACAATAATTATTGAGAAATTGTTAATGCTTTATGTCTACATTTGAATCTGATATGCTATCGTATCTCGATTTTCCGGTATATAATAATCATACATTATTATCGATGCCGGCTCCAGCTGCAAAACCTCATGCATCTTATCCGCCTGAATACTAAGACATTTTTCATCATCATCGGCCTGCAGATGTTTGAAATATGCCAAACATTTGGTATTGGAATCCTTAACTTCAACACGGGCCACAAATTCTTCTTCTTGTAAATCATGCATGGATTCAGGTGACACAACAAATCCGGAGGGCATATTTATTTCCATAATCACCATATTGGTCTGACGATGTTTAAGTTCTTTCGACGGCTTAAATTTGAAACAGACTTCTAACTCCATTACAGCGTTAGAAGTTAGCTTTGCCATGGGTGAAATGGCAAATGATTTCTGTTTTGGTGTTTCTCTTCGATGAATTACGCTGCTGGACTTGGCAAATGTTGTGGCAGTAATTGAGTCATCATCCAATGTAATACTCTCTACATCCGTTTCCAAGGGAACATAATAATGATAGGCCAGCTGGACCAGAGCATTTCCCTCGCCCTCTATTTTTAACTGAAGCAAACGAGTTGTTTTTGGAAGCTGTCAATTCATGGATTGTTACATTTAAAATATGTTTCTTTTAATAACAGTTACTCTTACCTCAATCTGTTGCCATATTTTACTATTACTCGGATCGATACCAAGAAAACCGTTGCCGACCTCCAGCCCTTGGGCGTCCAATGCAGCATAATTGAATTTGAGCAGCGTGTCATTATTGCTGGGGTATTTTTGATTGAATCGAATGAGGGCCTGCAAAACAACCACTGTATCATGGGTTGTTTTGAAACCTCCAGCCTTATTACGCTGTTCCAAAATCCATTTGACAATATTTATATTATCCAATGAATTTGTTCCCAATAGAGCCATTAGAGCATATGCCGTTATTTCTACATCATTTGAATGTGCCGCATTCGAAGACTGCCACCATTTTAAACCGTTTTTGCTCTGCGATCTTTGTTGGAGATTTGCCAGTACCTGATTGGCTTGCTCACTTTTGGACATTTGTAATGCTACCGCAACCAAAGATAGGGCATAGGTATCATTAATGTTGTTGATATTGTCCACCAAATAATTGACTCCTTTTTGTATGACAGCTTTATAGTTTCGGCTAGATTTCTGGAGGGAGAGAGAAAAATATTAATTTGAAAAGAAGCAGGTTGCCGATATTGTTGGTATACATAGCTGACGAAAGCCAGATGTAAATATCACGGCAAGGGAATTTTGAAACAAATCAGATACTCCCTTCAATTTCTATGAAATTTTTGGGAATTTGGATTCTTCGGGAATTTTTTAGTTTGTCTAAGATGTACCAGAATGGGCAGGGGACTTAATAAAAAAACATAACAATGTGTCAAGTTTGAACTGAATTGAAAACAGTGGCCAAGAGCTGATGATTTACATGATTTGAGTTTTTATACCCTGCAACATTATATGTTGGGGGTACTATAAGTTTGATTGCGCCAAAAACTATGTAACACCTCGAAATATTGATTTCCCACTTAGGAAAGTATATGTAGATCTTCCTATCACGCTGAGCTGAGTCGATCTAGCTATGTATGTCCGTCCGTCTGTCCATGTTAATTTGTAATTACTCTACAGGTCGCAATTACGGCCCGATCTTCACGAAATTTAGAATGGAGGTGAGATTAGGGCCTGAATAGAAGCCTTTTGCTTTTGGAGATGATGGCATAATTTTTACGGGTTGAAATGGACCAAAAACTGAAAATTTTCCTGATTTTGCAGTTGTTCTACAGGTTGCAATTAGCATGGGGCCTAGAGCTTAGGGCTGGGCAGAAGCCTTCCAATTTTGATGGTCATCGGGTAATATTTGGTGGGTGAAATAGTTCATAGCATTTGTGTTGAATAAAAGTCAAATATTCCATTAAACCGCGAATATCACATCTCCAGAATGGCTGGACCGATTTTGAAAATTTTGTCAATTCAGAATGCCTTCTTGGCATAAAAGTATGAAATAACGATATTAATATAGATTTTGCAGTATTTTGTTACATTTTTAATATATTTTTATCGCATACGATTTTTCAATTTGGCTTATAATATTGAAGTGTATTTTTTCACCTTACAACACAGGTTGGGGTTACTATATACTGATTGCAATTAACGTCCGATCCTCACAAAAATTTTCACAAGGGTAGGGTTAGGCTCAGAAGGGCTAGGCTTATTGTTTTCAAAGATGTCCTTAATATATGTAGGAGTTGAAATGGAAAACTAAAAATATTCCTGATTTTGCAGCCGTCATAAGGGTCACATATAGAAACCAAAGGACACAAAATCTTGTGTTAAGGATTGGGCCACTACTTTTGTGTGAAAAAATTGCAAATGAACCAAAAACAGAAGAAAAAAATTCCTGATCATAAAATTGAGGCCAATCGACATGCCTGAGAAGAAAGTTAAGGACAGCGTAGACGTCTAGCATTTTGGATGACCATAGGACTATATTTAGCTGTAAAATGGACCACAACAACTAACAGCACGACGGAATACATAAATATTGGGCAAATGTCCCTGGTCAAAATGCTAAGGGTAATATCAGGGCTGTACTCTATGACAAAATGGATTTGGACATAAGGGGCTTTTAACATATTGTATTGTTGTAGGGTATCACATGGTCGGCCCGCACGTCTATAGCCTTTGCTTACTTGTTTAATATTACTATATCTATATATCGATAACTACGGATACTATAGTTTTTTGCTTATTTTTCACACTTATATTGTAAGATATTATCGTGTAATAATAATAGGATATATGCCAATTAGTATGGGAACAATTCATTGTCGGATACGCAGTGAAACTTACACGAAACTTAATTTTGAAACCAGACATGGGGTATTTTGACGATTTTAGTCACATTTTTGCAAGGATTTGTCTAAAAATTGGTATTTGTAGTTCATAATGGGTTCTAGATTCGGTGGCGAAACCTAGTATTTATACAGGGTGAGATAAAAAACTGCGACAAAGTCAAAGGCCATCATTTTTATATTTTTATACACTCCACCATGGTATGGAGTTTATAACGTTTATAACACCTCGAAATACACATTTTAGACACCGCAAAATATATATATTCCTGATCAGCATAAAATTCTATGTCGATTTAGCGATGTCCGTCCGTCGATCCGTCTGTCCGTCTGTGGAAATCACTCTAGCTTCCGAACGAATTGAAGTAGGTTGATAAAATTTTACTCAAATGTATGCTATGGCTGAAGGACTTTTGGTATTGAAAATGGACCATGTAGGTCCACGTTTTGGTATATCCCCCATATAACGGTACCTCACGATATTCGGTATTTTGGTGATTTTAGCGAATTTATTCACCAGAATTGTTTTAAATTCGGTATTTGAAGTTCGTAATGGATACTACAGCCTAAGACAGAAAATTATCTGTGCAGGTCCACTTCTTCGTATAGCCCCCATATAACGGCACCTCTCGATATTCGGTATTTTGATCATTTTAGCGACATTTTTCAACGGACTTATTTCAAATTTAGTATTTGATGTTCGTAATGGATGCTACAACCTACGACAGAAAATTGTCTGTGCAGGTCCACGTCTTCGTATACCTCCAAAATTCAAAGTTTGGCCCGGCCGAACCTACAGCTTTTTTATTTTTTTTTTTTAATTTTATTGAATGAAAGCGAAAAATGACGGAAATAGCATCAAATTTTAGAATAAGTTTAGTTTTGTTCGAATTAGTCTCCTTTGACACAAATTATTGCCTCCACACGGCGGCCTCACCAACTTTAAGGTTTTTTGAAAAGTTTAACAGCATTTTCCAAACGGAATTGAATTCAGATACTTTTATATGAAAATGTTTTCTTTATTCTATTGGTCCAGGGTACACATGAACAGCGACCCTAATACCAAATTGAAGATTTCAAGCACTGTCTGTTCATCCAATGCCAAATTGTAACAAATATAGTACTATTTTGTACTTTTCTACCACAGACACCAACAGTGACATCCATATCAAGTTTCAAGATTCCAGCCCCCAATTCTTTACCCAATATCAAATTTTGTACTGTTTAGTACTTGGAATTATAGTACACATTTCCACAACCACCGCCATATCTCAATTGTACTATTTTAGAACTTTTCATAAACTTAAAGTTCGAATACTTACCGAACTCTCCAAGAATGTCATCAAAACAAAGGCCGTAAATCCATAACGATCCTGATGGGCTGGATGAAATAAATAGCCGGTATATTGAAATTCACCCGACGGCAATTGTTTGGATTCCAGAAAATGCAAACCACTTTGAATTATCCTATTTTCTACGCCGGCATAACGTTGTGCCTTAATAAAGAAACGAGTAATATATGCCGTCAGCCAAGTGCTTTCCTCCGTTTGGGCGTTCGGCCCAAATACACTGTATGCACCGTTGTAGTGGCGATAACTTAATTCCTGTTGATAACCAACTTCAAGGTGTCCAGTGGCTCTTTTCACCAGATCGGAGTTTTCAGAAGATTTTCATATGGCACGCAGATGATCTAATACCAAAACATTGGGAGCAAAATTAACCATATTTTGTTCAGCACAACCGGTGGGTAATTCTACCAAACTGTCAAGATTATCAAGTGTGGTGTGGAGAATATCACTGCTCACAGAAAGTTGTAGAAATTCGGTATCGGCAAAATGATTCTCAGGCACATCGATATCAATGGACGATCGAAATAGCTGCTCACTTTTTTTGAGATTTATAAATAAATCCTTGTTGTGGTTTTCCATGGTGCCCGTGGGTTCAACTTAAAGTTCCTGAAGTATGGCATCGTTGTATAAATAATTGGTGGCTTTGATGTTAATTCGAATAACTCCCAGCTTTTTGGGTTTAATGAAGAAGTGCTGAGTGTTACCACCGTTTGCTGAGGCAATTATGTCTTGAGATTTTGTAGTTGAGGCCATTGGCTGCATTGTCAACTCATCAATAAATTCATAACCTCCATCAAGACCATTCATTGTTATCCGCGTGTCCAGGTCCTTGTTGTGATAATTGAATATGACCAAAGGTATTTTGACAACTTCTCCTCTCTTGATGGAATATGGTAAATTTGTGGATATGAAAAATGTCTTGAAAACGGTTAGATTTGTCGGTTCGGACATCATACCAAAACCACTTTCATCGTTTACAGAAAATGCCGTTATCAGCCATGTGGTTATGGTGTCGGGAACGTTAAATGACAATTGAGTCATTTCGCTGACACTATAGAAGAAAAATTAAAAGTTTTTAATTCCTTTATGCAATTTAAATTGACTCACTTATTGAAGTCCATGAATATCCATGTTTCGGGAAATTTTGATCGTATTTTCAATCTCTCAGTGCGGAAAGTGTCATATTCTATTTTAGATCTTGGCTTCTCATATTTTTCTATATTTATTTAGAAAAACATAAAACAATAACCAGAAGAGTTTTGAGTTTCATTACCTACCAATGGGTGTTTCATACAAATAATTGGCATTGGTGAGTGTTATGAGTCCAGATATTTGTCCAGGATATATGACATCCACACCGGAAAAAGTCAAATCGTAGACTAATTCTCTAAAAATACGTTCCCGATCGATATTAAAATCTGGATTTTCAAGATATACACTCAGGTCTACTGCCAGTAGACCTACATATGAATTAGGTTTTGCTCTTAGATCAAGCTGTACTTCCTGTCCAGGTTTAGCTATTGATGGGGCTGAAATCGATACCTGGAATAGAAGGGAATAATTGTAATTTTAATTCTTAATGGATTTCAACAATTTAGTGTGGTATAATTTCTTGTCGTCGAGTGATAAACTCCTTCAACAGTTATAGTTTCCATGCTATTATATAAACTTTGAATACCACCATTTGGAAAAAATTCCAAGTTTTCAAAAAACCCTTTGAAAAATACTGGTAAATTCAAAAACATAAAAAGGTGGCAATTAGACAGTCTTCGTATACGAAATTTGAAACAATTCCAGTGAATAATGTCGCTAAAATCATCAAAATATCGAATAAAGGAAGATACGGTTATATGGGGGCTATACGAAAACGTGGACCGGTATAGGTTGTTTTCTGTCATAGGGTGTAATAACCATTAGCAACTTCAAATGCACAATTTTGAAACAATTCCGGTGAGTAATGGCGCCAAAATAATAAAAATACCGAAATTTACAGTTATATGGAGGGCTATACCCAAACGTGAACCTGCATATGCAATTTTCGGTCATAGGCTGCAGCTTCGTTCGGAAGCTAGAGTGATTTCCCCGAACGGATATAGAATTTTATGTTGATAAGGAATACTTACTAATATTACATTTTACACTAATATTACATATTACACATTTTTACATGTCGGTCTGTCTGTTTTTTGCTTAGAGGTTTGGTACCAAGGTGTATATTGCACGCATGCTGAATGGTACTGAAAATGGGCTACATACAGGGTGACATGAAAAACTGCAACCTACTTCAGACTGCGGTCGTCAGACAGCTGTTAAAATTATTCCAGTGACAGTTGGTTTACAAGCGTACAAAAGCATTTTGGTGAGAATTTTCCAGAAAAAAATTATTCGTGATGAAATTCAAGCGTGATAGTGTGATTTCTTTACATTTGGCTGGAAAACCACAAATGGTTATCGTTAGAGCACTTCAGCATTAAAATGTGAATAAATCTTTTGTGTCTCGTACCATCGCTCGTTACCGTGATAAGCATATAGACGTCTGGAAGCGTAGCCGGACGTCAAGGAAGTGTACGAAAGAAAACAGCAACATCGCCAGAAATGCTTCGAAAAGTAAAGAAGCGATTTGAACGAAACCCGCGTCGCAGTGGCCGAACGAAGTAGCATAACCATGTAAGTTGGTTTTGTCCACTCCATTTGGGCTAATGTTAGCTAAACCTGAAATCAAATAATTATATATATAGAGGCTATATCCAAATCTGAGCCGATCTTCATAAAATTAAAAAAAAAAACTATTTCTTAGCTGCATCTGATATCTGGTACCAAATATTATTCTTGTATCGTGCACAAAATTTGGAGTACTTATTTCTATAATAAATTCGGTCTGAAGTGGCAAAATTCACACGATTTGGACTGATATTAGCCATTTGGTACACAAGAAACCTAAAATCGGATGAAGATATATATGGGAGATATATACTTGTTTCATCTCACCATGAAGGTCCACGTTTAGATATTACACCCATATAACGATACCTCCGGATTTTCGGTATTTTGAAGTTTTCTGCCCCATTTAGATGAAACTTGACAATTGGGGTTTTTGAAAAATTTTCTCCTAGCGAAAAATGTTCGAATAAGGTCCACCAGTTGGTATAGACCCCATAATCGGTACCTCCCGATTTTTGGTATTTTAAAGGTTCCTGCAATAATTTTGCAACCAAATTAGCTGAAACTTGACAAATGGTGTTCTCGGTAGGTCTGAGAGATCCTTGCGAGAAATGTTCGATTTAGGTCCACTACTTGGTATAGGCCCTATATAACAGTACCTCCCAATTTTCGGTATTTTGAAGTTTTCTGCTACAATCTCCAACCAAATTAGCCAAAACTTGACAATTAGGTCTCTCTTTGCAAAAAATGTTCGATCAAGGTCCACCAGTTGGTATAGGCCCTATATAACGGTACCTTCCAATTTTCAGTATTTTGAAGTTCTCAGCCACAATTTTCAACCAAATTAGCTGTAACTAGATAATTGGGGTTCTTGAAAGTTATGTTCTCTTCTTAAGAAAGATGTGCCAGTCAGGTCAACTGATTGGTATAGCCCCCTATAACAGTACCACCCGATTTTCGATATTTTGAATTTTTCTGCCACAATTTCTAATCAAATTATCCGAAACATGACATTTGTGGTTCTTGGAAGCTATGTTCTCTCCTTACGGTTAATGTTCGACTAACGTCCACTAATTGGTATAGCCCCCATTTAACTCTCTATTTACTTGTTATTTTCAAAGATTTGCATTGTAAAACTTCGGCCCGGGTCAGCTTCACGCATTTCCTAAGCGTTTTACTCACCGTGTTCTCAAATTCATTGGGGAATTTCAAACTTAATTCACAATATCGTAAATCTCCATTTATAATGTAGTGGACATAGACGTAGCAACGTGGTATCATATCAACAGCAGATTTAATTTTTATGATATGCGATTTTGTATTGGCCGGTAGAGGGATATATTTCATGCGAACAATATCGGCATGACTTGTGACGGTGTAAATGAAATAGGGAATGGGCAATTTCGATGTTAATTCCAGGTCAATGTTGGTACCAAATTTCAATCTGGAATAGCAAATAAAAAATATAAGAATCCTAAAGAATTTCCCTCGACTTACCTTCCTTCCTTCCATTTTAAAGTACAAGCTGTTGCGGACGATTGATCAAATCGATAATTTTGACCAATGACAATGTTCTGTAAATGGGTTGAACTGCCGGCGTAGTTGAAGACATTGACTTCCTTGTCAACATAGTCAAAGGCGAACGTGCCCACACCATTCGCATCTAAATGTGTTTTATATGTCCTATTGGCATGAATCATTGTCATCGGAGTGATGGTATCAAGCACACGACTGCCATTCCAGTGCTGTACCATGGCCTTTATTTTATACGGCTTGCCATTGTGAAATTCAATCTCATTTTCCGGCACCAAGATATTATATTTCTGCTTTCGAACACTCAATTCTTGCAATGTAGATTGCGTGATGCCCGTATGTCTTTCTTTAATTGTGGCCGAAATGATTATCCACGAAAACATCTGGGCCAGTGGTATATCGTAATATTGAAATGTAAACGATGCTCGAAAATTTTCCAATGTGGCTTCTTGTTTCGACACGGTCATGTTGGTGGCCGGATTTAGGATAGCAACTGTTGCAGTGCCTTCAACATATTTACCAAATGTATATTTACCATATACAGTTAGGCTAAATTCATTGTCATCGAGTATAAAATCAGAGTCGGCATCAATGTAAACCCCAAATTTGGGTAAAACATATTTTTCCACTTTGAAATTGCGACCAGAGGATTTCTCATATTTTCCCAAGACGGAAGCTAAGATTAGCCATTGACCCAAAACCGTTTGTTCCGATAGATTGAATTTATTTGTATAGACTCCAGTGTTTAGTTTGATATCTTTGAATTGTTTAATTCGATTTCCATTGGGGTCCTAAAATGGGAATTATAAAATAAATTAAATGCATAATTGAAAATAAGTAAGATCGTATTATTATATACTATTAAATGTAGTATTTATTTATTTTATTTATCAATTTTCCTGGCCAAACCCCCAATCTTTTGGATTCGATGGTAAACCCATCGAAAATTAGAAACTAAAGAATTAGATCAAAATATTTATATGTCCCTAAAAAAATAAATAAAAAATCAAACTTATAATACCCCCAACACATAGTGTTGTAGGGTATAACAAGTAAGTTCGACCGGACCATTTGGAACGAATTTGGCAATTTTCAAAAAAAAAAAAAAAAAAATAAATAAATAAATAAAATAAAATAAAATCCGTTAAAAATTCATCAAAATACCGAATATCGGGAGGTACCGTCATACCGTCATATGGAGTCGTAGACCTGCACAGACAATTTTCTGTCATAGGCTGTAGTATCTCTTACGAACTTTAAATACCAAATTTTGGAACAATTCCGGTGAATAGTGTCGCTAAAATCATCAAAGCACCGAATATCGGGAGGTAGCGTTATATGGGGTTATACGAAGGCGTGGACCTGCGCGGAAAATTTCCTGTTACAGGCTGTAGTATCCATTACAAACTTCAAGTACCAAATTTGAAATTTGATTTCCGGTGAATAACGTCGCTTAAATCACCAAAATACCGAAAATAGGGAGGTACACTTATATGGGGGCTATGCCAGACGGACGGACATCGCTAAATTGACAGAGAATTTTATGCTGATCAATAATATATATACTTTGTGGGGTCTAAAATGTGTATTTCGAGGTGTTACAAACGGAATAACAAACTTAATATGCCTCCATACTCTGGTGGAGGGTATAGAAAATAAAAAGAGGATTAAGTTCGGCCAGATCAAGAATCCGGAGGTAACTTTATATGGAGTATCTGGTCTTTCAAGAACCCCAAATGTCAATTTTAAGATAATTTGATTGGAAATTGTATCAGAAAACTTAAAAATATCGAAAATCGGGAGGTACCGTTATGTGGGAGCCATACTAATTTGTAGGCTTGTGGCGAATACTTTTTGCAAGGATAGAACAGATCTACCGAGAATGTCAATTATCAAGTTTTATCTAATTTGGTTGGAAATTGTGGCAGCTAATTTGGTTGGAAATTCAAAATATCGAAAATCGGGAGGTACCGTCATGTGGAGGCATACCGATTTGCAGATCTGTAGCGAATATTTTTGAAGGGAGAGAACAGACATCCCAAGAACCCCAAATGTCACATTTCATCTACTTTGGTTGGAAATTGTGGCAGAAATATTCAATATACAGAAAATCAGGAGGTATCGTAATATGGGGGCCATACCAAATAGTCGACACAAATCGAATATTTTTTGCAGAGAGAGAACAGGACTACCAGGAACCCATAATGTAGAGTTTCAATTTATTTGGCTTTAAGTTGTGCCAGAAATCTTCAAAAGCCAAATATCTGGAGGTACTGTTATATGAGTTCTATACCAAATAATAAACATGATTCGAGCATTCAAGGTCAGAACTGCCGTTTCAAGAACCCCTAATGGCAAATTTCAGCTAATTTGATTGTAGACTGTGGCAGAAACCCTTAAAATACCGAAGGGAGGGAGGTACCCTTATTTGGACTTAAAACGAAAATTGTTAAAAATGCCGAAAATCGAGAGGTACCGTTGTATGGGGGCTATACGAAGACCTGGAGGTTCGTAGGTGATTTTCAGTTTCAGAAGGCAGTACCCATTCAGAACTTCAAATACGAAATTTGAAACAGTTCTGGTAAATAATGTCGCTAAAATCATCAAAATACCGAATAGGGGAGTTAACATTATATTGGGGCCATACGAAGACCTGAACATTGCATTGGGAATTTCTGTCCTAGACGGTAGAATCCGTTACGAACTTTTAATTACAAATTTGAAACATTTCCGGTGAAAAGTGTGACCGAATCATCAAAATCCCAATATCTCGAGGTACAGTTATATGGAGACTATACCAAAACTAAGACCTATATTGACAATTTTATGCATGGATATTTCTTATATAATGGGAACAAATTCTGCCAATTGATCGGGAAAATATTGTGACTAAAACACTCTATAAACTTTTAATCTGTCGATAATGTTATATGGGTGCCACATCTACTATATGGGGGGCTACACCCATATTCAATACCAAAAGTCCTGAAGACATACTCGTAAGACTCACCTGAGTAAAATTTTATCAACGTACCTTGTTTCGTTCGGAAACTAGAGAGATTTCCGCAGGCGGACAGACAGACAAACGGATCGTCGCTAAATCAGCATAAAATGTTATGCTGATACTTTGTAGGTACAAAAATTTATATTTAGAGGAGTTACAAACGGAATGGCAAAGTTCACATACCCTCCATAGAATGGGGAAGGGTATAAAAACGCCGATACACGTATTTTCTATTTTTAGCTCTACTTCCGCAGGATTTTTACTGTAATTGTTTTTGTGTTGTAATCATAAACATAACACAAAAATGTCCAAATGGCATAATCTAGCTAAATGTGATTTTTGAGTTAGTGGTACCCTTTTTAATCCCTCCACCTTGGAAAGAAGGGTATACTAACTTTGTCATTCCGTTTGTAACATCCTTAAATATTCGTTGTAGACCCCATAAAGTATATATATTCATAATCAGCATAAAATGCTAAATTGATTTAACTATGTTCGTCTGTCCCTTTGTCTGTCTGTCTGTTTGTCTGTTGGTTGAAATCACGATACCGCCCACATTTTTTGACGTGGAGCGCCAAAATTTAGCAGAGCAATTTGTATTGTGTCTGGGATGTTTGGTATTGAAAATGAGATATATCGGTCCAGGTTTTGGTATAGTCCCGATATTCGGTATTTTGATTATTTTTGCCACATTTTTTCACGGATTTGTCTAGAAACTGGTATTTGTTGGTCTTAATGGGTGCTAGCCCTTTTGGCGAAACACTGTATGTATAGGTCCAGGTTTTTGTATAGCCCCATATAGCCGTATTTCCCGATATTCGGTATTTTGATGATTTTTTGGCACATTTTCCCATGAATACGTCTAAAAATTGGTATATGTGGGTCATAATGGGCTCTAATGTTTCCTTTACCCTAAGGTGGAGGGTATTAAAAGTTTGGCCCGGCCGAACTTAATGTTTTTTACTTGTTCATTTTCTTGTTCATTTCATTCGGAAGGAATGAAATCGTTTTGGTTTCGAACGGTTTAAGATCGACATTTTGAACGTAATTAAAGAGTGGTTCGCCGATGAGGGAAACACGTATCACGGCCGGCTTGAGAGCATTATGTAGCGATAAACACACGGAATAATTGCGGTTCGATTTAATGGTACCAGGTGCCACAGCTGAATAGTAACTATTGGAAGAGGATATTATTTATTTATTTGTTTTAAAATCAAATGACAATTAAAACCTTTCCGATGTGCTTGCTGAAATAAATGCCAGTGTCAGAAGTAACAGCAGCAAATTGTATGAACCCGATTGCAGCTGCATCTCTAGCCGGCTGCCTTAAAACGACTGAATTGATATGCTCATGCAATTACATTTTTTTTAAATTGAGTAACTGGCTATAAGCTAATGTAGTCATAACTCATTTGCAGTCAATAGTCGGGCGGGGTCCACTACATGGTACCCTACATCGCTATGGATATTTACTACATATACCCTTAACAAATAAACCATTACATTAGGAATTTATGTGAAGTAGACAATATCAACTATGAACTACTTTTGAATCTGTATTATGGCTTTAGGGCAGTTATAATTTGGAATCAAATGCAATGGAAAATTTGCAACTTTTCAAAAAAAAAAAAAAAAAAAAACAAGTAAAAAAGCTTGAATACCCTCCACAATTTGGAACGAATTAGGTAATTTTCAAAAAAATAAACTCCGTTAAAAATTCTGCTAAGATCTTAAAAATACCGAATGAAGAAGTTATATTAGGGTCTACATGACGACATGGTAACTTTTGTAATAAGCCAATTCAATATTCAAGTGCGAAACTTAAACAAGTAAAAAGCTGTAAGTTCGGTCGGGCCGATCTTCGAATACCCTCCACCATTTGGAACGATTTTGACAATTTTTAATCCGTTGTAGCCGTTATATTAGGGTCTATACGACGACGTGGACCTGCATAGACAACTATTGTCGTAAACCATTACAATACTCAAATGCGAAACTTCAATGAATAAATTCGATGAATTATATAGTTAAGATCATCAAAATACCGAATATCGGGAGGTACCGTTATATGGGGCCTATACGAAGACGTGGAACTGCACAGACAATTTTCTGTCATAGGCTGTAGTATCCATTACGAACTTCAAATACCTAATTTGAAACAATTCCGGTGAGTAATGTCGCTATAATCATCAAAATTCCGAATGTCGGGAGGTACCGTTAATGGGAGATATACGAAGACGTGGACAGTTTTCTGTCAAAGGCTGTATTATTCATTACGAACTTCAAATACCAAATTTGAAACAATTCCGGCGAATAATGTCTCCAAAAACATCAAAATACCGAATATCGGGAGGTACCGTTATAGTCCATTATCAATACCAAAAGTCGGAAGCTAGAGTGATTTCCACAGACGGACGGACATCGCTAAATCGATATAGAATTTTATGCTGATCAAGAATATTCATACTTTGTGGGGTCTAAAATGTATATTTCAAGGTATTACAAACGGAATGACAAACTTAATATACCCCCCATACATACAAACTTAATATACCCCCCCATACTATGTAGGGTATAAAAAGTATCAAAATACCCAATATAAGGAAGCACAGGTATTTGGGGCCTATACGAAGACGTGGTTCGGTTCGAACAAATTACCATTATAAAATGGACTTCAAATTTCAAATTTGAAACATTTCTGGTGAATGATGTCGCTAAAATCATCAAAATACCGAATATCTGGAGGTACAGATATAGGTTATATGGGGGGGCTATACCAAAACATAGGTCTATTTCGTTTCCTGTAAATAAAGCTTATAAACTCTGTGATGTAAACAATAGAGACAAACTGTGACCTCAATATAAAATTTCGAATTTTAACTTTATACCTTCACCCAATACCAAAATTGGTACTCATTAGTACTTTTCGTACTATTTACTTTTCGTATACATTTTTGAAATCACCTCCATATCTCCAATCCAGAGAACAACAGATACCTCAATATCGAATATCACCTAATACCCAATTTAGAACCATTTAATACTCTTCGTACATATATAGGACGCATTCCCGATACAACCTCCACCTACAATTCAATAGCGACCCTAATAGAAAATGTCAAACTACAACTACTATCTGTTGACCCAATATGAAGTTTAGTACCATTTATTAATTTTCGTACAGATTTCCAAAACTATCTTTAATTCTCAAACATCCTCTTCAGCCACTAGTACCTATCCCAACAATCTAAATATCAAAATTCATAATTGTATCTCTATCCCCACTCCAATACCAAATATAGTACCACCTCTAACGGTTCTCCCAAAATTTAAACTGTACCAAATTAAGTACCATTTAATACATATAAATACGAATTTCCAAAACTACCAACATACTTCAGTCCTACAAAGTAATAGCAATCTTATTTCTAAATTTCAGCATTACAGCTCTATCGGTTCACCCACCTACAAATTGTACCAAACTGAGTACCATATAGGAGGAGACGCACAAGACGATAGAAGAAGTGAGTGACAGCTTGGCAAAGCTCACAACTGGAACAAAAAGCTGTTTTGGGGCAAAACGGCGAAAGCTCAAGAGGCAACAGAACAGCAAAAACGCAAAGTCGCAGCATGTTTCAAAGGGGGCTACAAATACTCCCCTGGATCAGGTCCCCTGAGGAACAAAACACTGTGAAGCCATCAAAAACGAAAAAGAGATTCACAATTACAGATGCTTCGCGTAAACTAAGTCAAGGACCTTGCAAAGGAGGCTGTAACTGGAATCCATGATCGAGGGCGACAAGGTTATCCCCAGCACTGGCAAGGTGTGCCCGGCCGTGAAATCGACTGCTAAACCTGGGGTTTCCGAGAAGAAATACGACGACGTGGACCTGCATAGACAACTATTGTCGTAAACCATTACAATACTCAAATGCGAAACTTCAATGAATAAATTCGATGAATTATATAGTTAAGATCATCAAAATACCGAATATCGGGAGGTACCGTTATATGGGGCCTATACGAAGACGTGGAACTGCACAGACAATTTTCTGTCATAGGCTGTAGTATCCATTACGAACTTCAAATACCTAATTTGAAACAATTCCGGTGAGTAATGTCGCTATAATCATCAAAATTCCGAATGTCGGGAGGTACCGTTAATGGGAGATATACGAAGACGTGGACAGTTTTCTGTCAAAGGCTGTATTATTCATTACGAACTTCAAATACCAAATTTGAAACAATTCCGGCGAATAATGTCGCCAAAAACATCAAAATACCGAATATCGGGAGGTACCGTTATAGTCCATTATCAATACCAAAAGTCGGAAGCTAGAGTGATTTCCACAGACGGACGGACATCGCTAAATCGATATAGAATTTTATGCTGATCAAGAATATTCATACTTTGTGGGGTCTAAAATGTATATTTCAAGGTATTACAAACGGAATGACAAACTTAATATACCCCCCATACATACAAACTTAATATACCCCCCCATACTATGTAGGGTATAAAAAGTATCAAAATACCCAATATAAGGAAGCACAGGTATTTGGGGCCTATACGAAGACGTGGTTCGGTTCGAACAAATTACCATTATAAAATGGACTTCAAATTTCAAATTTGAAACATTTCTGGTGAATGATGTCGCTAAAATCATCAAAATACCGAATATCTGGAGGTACAGATATAGGTTATATGGGGGGGCTATACCAAAACATAGGTCTATTTCGTTTCCTGTAAATAAAGCTTATAAACTCTGTGATGTAAACAATAGAGACAAACTGTGACCTCAATATAAAATTTCGAATTTTAACTTTATACCTTCACCCAATACCAAAATTGGTACTCATTAGTACTTTTCGTACTATTTACTTTTCGTATACATTTTTGAAATCACCTCCATATCTCCAATCCAGAGAACAACAGATACCTCAATATCGAATATCACCTAATACCCAATTTAGAACCATTTAATACTCTTCGTACATATATAGGACGCATTCCCGATACAACCTCCACCTACAATTCAATAGCGACCCTAATAGAAAATGTCAAACTACAACTACTATCTGTTGACCCAATATGAAGTTTAGTACCATTTATTAATTTTCGTACAGATTTCCAAAACTATCTTTAATTCTCAAACATCCTCTTCAGCCACTAGTACCTATCCCAACAATCTAAATATCAAAATTCATAATTGTATCTCTATCCCCACTCCAATACCAAATATAGTACCACCTCTAACGGTTCTCCCAAAATTTAAACTGTACCAAATTAAGTACCATTTAATACATATAAATACGAATTTCCAAAACTACCAACATACTTCAGTCCTACAAAGTAATAGCAATCTTATTTCTAAATTTCAGCATTACAGCTCTATCGGTTCACCCACCTACAAATTGTACCAAACTGAGTACCATATAGGAGGAGACGCACAAGACGATAGAAGAAGTGAGTGACAGCTTGGCAAAGCTCACAACTGGAACAAAAAGCTGTTTTGGGGCAAAACGGCGAAAGCTCAAGAGGCAACAGAACAGCAAAAACGCAAAGTCGCAGCATGTTTCAAAGGGGGCTACAAATACTCCCCTGGATCAGGTCCCCTGAGGAACAAAACACTGTGAAGCCATCAAAAACGAAAAAGAGATTCACAATTACAGATGCTTCGCGTAAACTAAGTCAAGGACCTTGCAAAGGAGGCTGTAACTGGAATCCATGATCGAGGGCGACAAGGTTATCCCCAGCACTGGCAAGGTGTGCCCGGCCGTGAAATCGACTGCTAAACCTGGGGTTTCCGAGAAGAAATCCCACGCCCAACAGAAGAGGAAACGGGTACGAAGCCGCCATCGTATGCAGAGAAAGCCAAGAAACATTATATGGACGAAATGCACCATGCATTGATCGATACCAATAAAGGTTCAGACAACTTACCAAAAGACCATCTGGCAGCGATAGAGGAAATGGTAAACAACAAATTTTTGGATCACATCATGGAAGGTGAAGATCAAATTCCCATCATGAGCAACGGCATTAAGAATAATAAAATGTTATTTAAAGAGGATTATCGACAAAAAAAAAAAACCGCCTTGGGAAAACGGCAGCCTCAAATTGGTGAGGAGGAGCGAAATTCCTCGCCTAAATAAAACGACGGTATACGTCAGAGGATTTGGCAGCAATTTCGAGACGGAACGTAAGCTCGAAGTCAAACAAAACAAGACTTAGGACGTGAAGAGATGGAAAGTCTTCCACAGGGAGGGGAAGGAGGATGGCACTCTCCTTGTGATTGGAGTTGACGATC